CATTATAATATATATGCAATCATGGGAATAGTACTCCAATTTTTAGTCAACCTTTATCGAAATCGAAAACAAAGGAGAAAAGGTCAACTCATTGGCTATTCGTGAAACATCATCATCAAAATAACTGTAAATTGATTGAAATATCATTAATTATATTCTTTTCTCTTTGAAACTTTTAGTATTGAATTTTATATCTTGAAAGGAGTAATATTTCCACTGTGCTGTGGCAACCAAAAGAAGAGAAGAAGAAAAATGCTGAGATATATACATTATTTTACATGTATCATTGCCCGTACATAACGTTATTTCTAATAGCAAAAGCGTTGTATACATATATTCCTAAATTTCTAATTACAGTTTTGTTATCAGATTTAATCAATTCTAAAAACTTAAACATATTAGGTCTATTCCAATAGTATCTTGGTATATACTTTTTCCTTAAATCATTGTAAAGATAGCATTCAATTACAAAATGAAATTCATCCTCCAATAAACCACATAAGTTACATTTCCTTTCATTTATTTCAATTCTTACTGGACGTGCCCATCTACCTGACTCAATTTGTAACCTGTGTGATGAAACACGCAATCTAGATAATGCTTGGCAAAATTTATTCATTGAAAAACATTCAAGATATGGCTGACTTTGGAAAGATGCTATGTTTCTGTAAAATAATGCTCTGCTTGAATCATTAAGTCTACTATGCCAGTTTTGAATAAATTGATCTGTTAATCTTTGTTTAACTGAAGATAAAAATAATTCAACATCACCAACATTTTGCTCTAACCAAGCATCATAAAAACCAAGAGAACATAATAAATTTTTAACCATTGAACACCAGTTTACCTTACGCTCATCTCGTTCAAAATCTAATTTTAACATGTTATAAATCAAATAAATATACTTATTTTGGCGTGTTCTTAATATCTTTACCCAGTATTTAACAATGTTCATATGATGAATAACTTGTAAAGAGGTTCTACCCAGTTCTCCATAAATGAAATCATTTTGGGTTGTTTTTTTCACACCAAGAATACTTTTACAGAATTGCAAATTAACTCTTTCTATTGATATATCATTAGTAAAACCTAATATTTCACTACTATAATTTAAAATTGGCATAACTAATTTATCAAATAAATCGAGTTTATGTCGAGGTGGTATGTAAGTAAATTTATATAAGTATTTGTTTAACTTAAAAACTGCTTTCTGAGCTTGGCCCGCCAGGGTGCTTTGAGCTGTGCTTAAAGACCCACCACAAGTGAACACTACACCTAAGTATGAGAATTTGTTAACTATGTCAAGTATTTCACCATTATAATAAAAACAAAAATCACTTGGTAAACGTCCACCTTTCCTAAAAATCATTACCTTTGTTTTTGATATGTTTACTTTTAATTTCCAAGTGTTACAATAATCATTTAAAACATTCAAACTATGCTGTAAATCTTCAGGAGAATTTCCAAAAAGAACAATATCATCTGCATACAACAGAAGGAAAATTTTAAACATATCTATATCTATACCATCTGAACCTCTATGTATCAACGTATCTTCTAAATCATTTATGAATAGAGAGAAGAGCAAGGGAGATAAACACTCACCTTGTCTTACACCAAGCATACATTTATATTCTTCACTAAGATTATTTAGATATTTAACACGTGATTTTACAGACTCATACATTGATTTAATGATATCTAAAATATTACCTCTAAGACCTAATTGTACCAATTTATACCACAAATTGTCCCTAACTATGTAGTCAAATGCTTTCGTAAAATCTACAAACACAGTGAAAAGCTGTTTACCTTGATTTAAAAAATGATTTATAAGTCCATTTAATACAAAAACATTATCAATGGTACTCATGTTTGACCTAAAACCCGTCTGAGCTTCTATGTATACATTGTAATTTTCTGCCCATGATTTTAATCTATTATTTATAATACGTGTAAAAAGCTTTCCTAAACAACTAAGAAGTGTCACCCCACGATAATTTTCGACATTATTTATATTACCTTTTTTATGCAATGGTATTACATAGCCATCAGACCATTTTTCTGGAAAATAACGGATTTCAAAAATTTTATTAAAAAGTTTATGCAAAACAGGTATAAGAACATCTTTTCCTGCCGTGAAAAATTCATTTAATATTAAGTCTGGTCCACCAGATCGATTACTTTTCAATTGTTTAATGGCATTTATTATTTTCGTCAACAGATATCATATTATTAAGTTCATTAAACATAACATTAATCTCATGATTCTCGTATCTCTCATTGAAATAGAGTACATCTTCATCCGGACTGAAAAAATTGCCATCCGGATTGTTAACCGCCTTAAAATATTTTTCAAATTCTGATAATGGTATATTTGATTGTTTTACACCTGCTAAACCCTTTAACATAGACCAGTAAATTTTTGCATTTTTACTTTTAGCTTGTAACAGTTTTGAAGTATTTTCATGATCAAAATCAAATCTACATTTCCGTAACACTTTCTTATATTCTGTTCTAGCAGACACCATATTTACTCTATTACTGTCTGTCGGCATTTGGCGAAAAATATTCAGCATGTTTAAAAATATCTGTTTTTTCTCATAACAGTCATCATTATACCAGGGATGATTATTTTCTGACCTACTAATTATATTTTCATTATTACTAACATTTAAATATTTTATACATGAAGGCGTTGCCACTTCATTGATAACCTTTTGAAAATCACTCACGCATAAATCTATGTTTTCATGAGACATACATGATGATATTTCATTTGATAGATGTTCAAGTTTATGCTCAATCTCACTACTTTTTAATTTTTCTAAAAACTGCACTTTCCTATCCAAATCCCAAACATATTTACAATTAATTGTTTCCTTTTGTTCATATGGCTCATTTATTGATACATTTTCAACTTTTTCAATCTTCAAAGTACATGACACAAGACAGTGATCTGATAATATATTCGGGCAATCAATATCAAAACTATCAACATACTTAAATAATTCTTGTTTACATAATATATAGTCAATAACACTACAACCCTGATTGTTAACGAATGTGTATTTACCTATGTCGCAATCATTTCCTAGCCTACCATTCATAATTCTCAAACCGGTTTGCCTACAAAAATCTAACAATAATAAGCCATTATTATTCACGTGACCATGATCTTGTGATCTCCTTGGTATTTCATTGTCACAAGTATAATCATCGGGCAATACATTTATACGTTCTAAATCAACATTGTCATTTGCTACATAATCAGACAGAGTAGAAGTTCGTGCGTTATAATCACCAAACAAGAAATAGTAACTATCGCTGTTTGATTTACTTTCAACATGTAATATAGAGTCAATGAGTCTATCAAAAATATTATTTTCAACTAAAGATTGTCGGCTGCTTCCATCAGGCAATACATAACATAATCCTATATATACATCTTTACTAATATTTAATTTTACAGACGATAACTTAACCCAAAGTATATCGTCCTGACTAATATAAAATAACGTGTCATCTGAAACAAGATCATTTCGTACATATATGATAATCCCCCCTGAATTTCTTTTACTGTTACTTTTAACTAATTTTCTATGCAACACAAAATGTTCAAAATTATATATATATGTTTGTGTTTTATTTTCTTAGTTTTTGTAGTCAAAAGAATAAATAATTTATTTTAGCAAAAGCGAATAAGGAAATAATCTTTAAAGTTTTGAAAGAAGTCTTTTGAGCAAAGTTAAAAAGTCTTCTGAAAAGTAATGAAGACACAAAATATTCAAATTTTGACCTTCAATAATTATTGTGACCTTGACATTGAGTCTGCCATGTTGCAGGATGGGATTTTCACATTTCCTTGTTAAGGTGAATATTTGAGCAAAGTTTCAAAAAATTCCTCAAGGGATATAAGATATATAAAACAACACACTATTGTCAGACATTTGATCTTCAAGGGTGACATTGATCTTCAGCTACATGCATACATGTACATAGAAGTGGCATAGGTTCTGCACATTGCCTTGTCGAGGTAAACATTTGAGCAAAGTTGAATACCGGTAGGTAAAGTTTGGTAAAGTTCAAATAAAAAATGTGACTGTTTTAAAACAAAACTTTTCTATGCTTTGAGCTGATGACCTAGTTTTTCTTACCAAAATGATTCATATTCAATCTCATTCATGGACTCATTTTTGTTTTAATTGGATTTTAAATGGAAAGTCAGGCAAATTAATGACAAAAATATTAAAATGATCTTATGAACTCAAATCACCCTAAAATGGCATTTTGTAAAATCCCAGGATGAACTTCTGTATCAAATTCTATATATTTTGGGTTTGAAGAGTAAATATATCTACATATTATGTTGATCAAAATTTAGAAGCCAACAGAATCACCAAGTAGTTTTAAAACAAGTTGTGTGACTTGAACAAACCCTGAAAGATACAATAACGGATATTGTATGATTGAAACAAGTCTAAGTTATTCATTAAACATGTTCTTTAATGTTTCTAAAGTTCACTGTGACAACTATTGTAAAATCTTTACCTGAACCATGTGGGTCAGGTTAGAAAATCATCATTTAACACTTTATGAGGAGAAAAGATTTGTTCCTGTGACTGCTTAGTGTTTTTATATTTAGGACATTTACAGAATAACGAATGAAAAAATCAAAAGGAAGAAGCGAAAATTTTACCTGTGTCTCCCTTTAAGCAAATGAGCGAAACCAAATTTGATATCTACGAAACTTCTTATTTGTTTTCATTTATATCTAAAATCATTTAGAAGTACAAAAAGAGAAATAATGAAATGGACAAAACTGCAAACTTGGTAATGAGTTTGATGCTACACAATGACTAGTGAAGCATTTCTCACACCCCTTATATTCTTTTATATGGTACTAAATGTCTTAGAATACATTATTACAAAAGACCAGAAAAAATACCACACTAAAACAAAGGCTTTTCTAAATAATTCTTGCAGATATTTAGACTTACCTATAGATAACAGTGTTAGGAAGAACTTTCACAGGCTGAAGTGGTAGGAATATCTTAGAAGCTAATTCTGGCATTTTATCATTTATTTCTTTACACATTTCAACACACGTTTTAAATCTTTGCTCTCTTTCACCACTGTTCCAGTCACTACCGACCATTAATATTGTTGATAGTTCATCTAAATTCTTTTTGCTCTTCTGAAATCAGAGATCATATCATTTTAAGAAGTGGTAGCTTAAGATACAGGATTTTAAATGTATTGAGGTCCATTATAAAAGCATTTTTCAAGATGAACAGTTATACATGATTCTATGAAGGTCCCTATAAAAGCATTTTTTTTTTAAGATGAACTGTTGACCTTAGTTTGAAAAAAGTCCTTCAAGGAGAGTAGAATTACAAAATTTATTTTTGATCTTACAGTCAGTGCTCTTTTCTGTTTAAGGGAAACAAAACCTGATCCTATAAAAGGGTTCACCCTTAAAGTGACCATGCTCATGTACATTTATTTATTTTGCAAAAAAACAAATTTCAGTAAATTATTGTTATAAAAGGTTATCCTAATTTTTGGCATATTATGCAGGTAAGTTTTAACCCTTTTACCCCATGAGCATATTGTGAAAAATTAAGCCGTTTTCATTGAAAAGCCTCCTGTTACAAGTTCAAACTGCTATGAAACTATGAAAAATACTTCAATACTTATCAAACTTGGCACAAATGTTGCCTTTGTAACGATATGCTCAATCTTAAATTTCCCGTTACCATGGCAATGAGGGGACACCTCAAAATTGCCAAAAATCACTATTTTGCATTGATTTTTTCCATCAAAATTGATTTGACAGTGCTGCAACTTCTCAAAGGATTGAGATTTAGTCAAATGCTTTTCAACATTGGTTACACATTACCTCATGATCAACCTGGTGTCATTTTTAGCCTCTAAAAAGTCCAAAATTTTCTTGGTGATGAGGGGGACTACCGCCCCCCTTCAAACCCCCCAAACAGAAGAGGGCACATCCCCCTTCTGGCAACCCCCTGATGTATCTTTTTGATAGGGGCAACGTCGAAAAAGTGATCACTTTTTAGCAACATTTCCCAAACAAAAAACAGTGTTGGGGGCCTAAATAGGGTAATATTTCACTGTTTGATGCCCAAAAAAGGGGGGAGGGTCAAAAGGCCGTCATTACACATCTATATGAAGTAAAGGCTTAAAGGGAATTTTTGAAAGAGAAAAATAGGGGGAAAATATTTACATTTTGTGGCGGGAATGGTGTCATATTTTGATTCTAAAATTTGTGAATTGAAAGCCCTGAAAGTTCAGACTTAGACAAGAGATGGCATAAGAGTTGGATCGTTTTTGCATATCACCATGCTTATGTGGACATTTGAGACCTGATGAGTCTTAAGAAAATCTATTGATGGGTTATGATTTATAGAGCAGACACAAAATGGTCATTTCAGGGTGACCTTGATCTTGAGCCAGCACAGAGTCAGCATGGATTCTACACATTGCCCTTTAAATCATATAAATAAAGACCATTTCATTACATTACAAATATCTTTGTAGTAATTTAAAAAAATACAGTTGTAACAAAGCTGAACTTCTTAAAAATGTTAAAATAGCCATTACAATATTTTTGGGGTTTTATAAAAAAATTTGTTATATGCTTTGATAGACTGACAAAGTCGTAAAAAATTGCAACCAATAATAATGATAAACCTACAGGTCAGTTTTTCACCAGATTTATGTATGAAGGCAATAAAAAGTATCTTACATCTTCTACTTCTGAAAGATTTGCTTTTGGTTTACTTTCAGTTTGATCATTCTGCTGTATATCTTCTAATGAATCACTGGGAGCAGGAACAATAGTAGGTCCTGCTTTGCAGGGACTCTTAGCTTCCTGTGATGGTAAAATAGGAACTACCCCTGTGCCCGCTTGCTCTGTGTGTTCAGGAATATTTGTTCCTGATTGCTCTGTGTGTTCAGGTATATCTGATATAAATGTATCATCATCAAGTGTCTGACTATTTATTGTGCTATAAATATCTGAATCACTTTGACTAAGAGCACTATCACGACGGCTGCGTTCAGTACATTGTTGATTTATTTTAGCTAAATATTCATTCTGTACTTTCAATATCTTTCGCAGACAACCATTTTGTTTTGTATCTCTCAAGCATTTTTTAAATTTGTTGTAGTTACCTTCACCAGTTTGTCTCACTAGGCGTACAATTTCTCTTGATTTGTCGGTTTTATTCTTTTCCTCCTATTCAAAAGTATAAAATAATAGTTTAGCATACATAAGAGTTGAGATGCAGCTATCTATTATAATTTATAATGCAACTGCTATGCCAACTGCCTGATAACACTTGCCTGACAATTATTTTTGATATCTGGTTAGTAACCTTATATAAAAAATAATCCTCGCCCATTTCAATTGACTTTTTTCAATAGCTTAAAATATATCTTCTCATTTTTACCTATCATCCTTTGAATTCTTCAATTTCATCTCTTATCCTTGCAAATGTTAAATCGTTAAGAACCAAGTTAATAAAGTGAAGTTTGTTTTGGCAAATGACATCATCACTGGTCACGTCATAGGCCTATTATAAACATAACAAATAGGCTAGACAGTTTTCTTCGAGAATAAGTAAATGTTTACTTTGTTTCGCCAGATTATTATTCAATAAGTGAAGAAATGGTAATAAGATGCATGTTTGTGTAGATTGTGTTTGATTTGAATTTCTTTGACTGAAAGTGAAATATGTGAACTTTTTAATTTGACATTTCAAGAAAAAAAGTGCAGTAAAGTTATTGTGATTCAAAGGGATATATTTTATTGATGTTTAAAGGTATTTTAGAATCTTATTCCAATACATTCTGTTGTTTCAGATATTACCAAAGGAAATATCTCATGTTAAGAGAAAAACGGCCACCATCTACAAGTTGATTCTAAGTTACAGAGGAGGCTGAATTTGTTTTCAAGGAAAAATGCCCCTTTCTACAAAATCGCCATTTAAAAGAAGATCATTTTGTTATTTTGACACTTTTATGTCCCTTTTCAGCCCATATCAGCCTCCCCTGATTAATTTGACAGTAGCATGTTTCGTAGTTTAGTACCAATATTTTAAACAAGAGAGTTCAATGGACCTTGGATAGCTGCATTAAGAGTTCTCATGGTTCAATTGTGTGACTATTTAATCATGGTTCAATTGTCATCTATATTTTACAGTCATAATTGAATTTCTTTTACAGCTTCTTTATTATTATTTCTTTCTATTTTTTGCTGGGTCAGTAAAACTTGGTTGTTGCTCTATTGATAACATCAGTACATCATGTCTGGTTAAGATAAATTTGTCACAGTTTGTTTGTCTGTTTTGTTAGATTTTCAGTCACACTGACACTGTATGGGTCATGTGGCATCTTTCCAGTTTTTCTGGTTGAGGAATAACACAGTTGCCCCTCTGTGCATTATTTTAGGCATGACAGCATACCTGAGTAAAACCTGCAACCCTCTGTCAGCTAGCTGAATAGCTTCCTAACAAGAAAGGATTCAAAGTATCTTATTGAATTTAAACCTACAGGAGTGAGAGTAAGTGATTTGAAGTTGGTGACCTTAACCAGTAGACGAGAGGGCCATGATGGCCCTGAAATTGCTCACCTGAATATTAAACTCTCCATGACACTATTCGGAATAAGTAATATTGAAACCTATGAACAAAGGCAGATATAAAACTAAATCTAAAACTGACATCACAATGTTCATATTTGTATCTGAAAAAATGCATGTGTAAGAACATTACTGGTTACTATTGTTAACGGAAAACAACAGTTGCAAAAGATGGGTACATATAAGAACAAGAGCACCGCTAGGCGGAGCATTATATGTCCGAAAGTGTTTTTTTTTTGTTAGTAAGGTTGAAACATTTGTAAGACATTGGAATTAAATACAGTATTACCTCCTTCAAAAAGCAATCCTCCTTTATAGCTGTATAACCTTCATATATATATATATATATATATATATATATTATATATATATATATATATATATATATATATATATATATATATATATATATATATATATATATATATATATATATATATATATATATATATATATATAATATATACAGTTGCTGTTTTCAAAGCACCACCACCAAGTTGTAGTTATGCTCCAGAAACCACAACTTTCAGTGTAAATATCATTGTGACCCTGACCTTTGACCTTATGACCCTAAAAATCAATAGGGTCATGTTTTGGACATGGTTGTTCATCCTATAAAATTTTACAGCTGTAGGTTATTAAATACTTAAAATAGTGACCTTGACCTTTAACCTTGTGACCCCAAAATCAAAAGGGGTCTTCTACTCAATATGAACAATCATCCTATGAAGTTTGAATACTGTGGGCTTAATAGAACTTAAGTTATGCTCCGGAAACCATTTTCAGTGTTAGGATAATAGTGACCTTGACATTTGACCTTGTGACCCCAAAATCAATAGGGGTCTTTTACCAAATATGGACAATCATCCTATAAAGTTTGAATACTGTAGGCCAAATGGAACTTAAGTTATGTTCCGGAAACCATTTTCAGTTTTAATGAAATAGTGACCTTTGACCTTGTGACCCCATAATCAATAGGGGTCTTTTACTCAATATGAACAATCATCCTATGAAGTTTGAATACTGTGGGCCAAATAGAACTTAAGTTATGCTTCGGAAACCATTTTCAGTGTAAGGGTAATAGTGACCTTTGACTTTGTGACCCCAAAATCAACAGAGGTCTTCTACCCAATATGGACAATCATCCTATGAAAATTGAAAACTGTGGGCCAAATAGAACTTAAGTTATTCTCCGGAAACCATTTTCAGTGTTTTAAGGTAATTATGACCTTGACCTTTGACCTTGTGACCCCAAAATCAATAGGTGTCTATTACCTAATATGGACAATCACCCTATGAAGTTTGAATGCTGTGAGCCAAATGAAACTTAAGTTATGCTCTGGAAACCATTTACAGTTTTAAGGAAATAGTGACCTTAACCTTTGACCTTGTGACCCCAAAATCAACAGAGGTCTTCTACCTAATATGGACAATCATCCTATGAAGTTTGAATACTGTGGGCCAAATAGAACTTAAGTTATGCTTCGGAAACCATTTTCAGTGTAAGGGTAATAGTGACCTTGACCTTTGACTTTGTGACTCCAAAATCAATAGAGGTCTTCTACCCAATATGGACAATCATCCTATGAAGTTTGAATACTGTGGGCCAAATAGAACTTAAGTTATGCTCCGGAAACCATTTTCAGTGTTTTAAGGTTATAGTGACCTTGACCTTTGATCTTGTGGCTCAAAAATCAATAGGGGTCTTTTACCCAATATGGACAATTACCCTATGAAGTTTGAATGCTGTGGACCAAAAGTTATGCTCCAGAAACCAAATTGCTAACGGACGGACGGACAGACGGACGAACGGACGGACGAACGTGCCACTTAAATGGACTAAATGGCCATTTCTTTTGTAATTTTCTTTTGTTTTATAGAGAGCCATGGTCCCTTATTCTATTGTTACGGAATGAACTCTATTGTTCTCTTTTGTTCTGTTTACTGTTAGATGGCCCTCTAACCCTATTTGGTTGCTCGGACAGATGGACGGACGCCAGGGAGTATAACATAATATGCCCGAAATTATTTCGGGCATATAAAAATCAATGACCGCCTGGGGTGGGGCCAATTTTGACCCCAGGGATTTTATTTGAACAAACTTTGTAGACACCTATAAGAAGATTTTTCATGCTGAATATCTAAGCTCAAGCTCTTTGGGTTTTTTAAAGAAGATTTTTACTATTATACATATAAACAAGCCTTTCCCCAAGGAATTTTGCCAGGAATAGGGGCAGGTTTTCGCAGAACTGGGGGTGGGTGTGGGAGGGGGTAGGACTCCTGTCACACGTTGAACTTTTTGCTATTTTCATGTTTGCTACATCAACTGTATTTAAGACTCTTCATAAGCAAAAAAGATATCAGATACATGTAACAATTCATCACACTATTATCATGAAATTAAGTAAACAACACAAAGAAAAAATAATTTGATTAACAATTTATATATTAACTTTTTATCTTCACAGTCCCTGTTTAAAATTGATAGTCTCTCTTTAAATTTGTGTGAACATCAATGTAGAAACTAAACAAGGTGCTGACCATTGAAATAAACAGGGATTTCACTAATATTTTTCAAAATAGAAGTCCCAAATCATGTTGAATATATTGTGGAAAATGGTAATATTACCCACATGGGAAAAACTGTATGATAGGTGATGAAAAGATCTGAATAATCATTTCTATTCTAATACCCTACATCATCAGATCATTGTGCTGTTTTCTTCCTGATTCACTCCTAAAGTAATTTTAATTAATAAACTACATTTTAAGTGTTATTACACACATTTTAACAAACAAGAGCAATCAGTGATCACATGTGTCGCCTCATGATGGCCAATTTCATGCTGGGACAAATTTTGTGACGGACGGACAGACAGACGGACAGTGCACAACTACACTTGGTACTGATCATTCCTGTAAAGTTTGGATAAAATTGCACCAGTATTTTATGAGGAGTAGTCCGGACAAGCTTTTGCGTATCTGGCAACACACAGAAAAAAACACTTTTTTATCAAAGAGCCATAACTCAACCAAAAATCATTCAACCGGAAAACCCGTGCAATATGCACAAGGACTTGAGCTACAGATCAATCCTGTAAAGTTTCATTGAAATTGCATTAGTGGTATAAGACAAGTAATCCGGACAAACTTTAAAAATAAAAATTATTAAAGGGCCATAACTCTCACAAAAAATCATTGAACCGGAAAATGCTGACAATATGCACAACTAGACTTGGTACTGATCATTCCTGTAAAGTTGAAAAAGTTTGGATGAAATTGCACCAGTAGTTTATGAGGAGTAGTCCGGACAAGTTTTGTGACGGACGGACGGACAGACGGACGTTCTTACGGGACAGTAATTATGTGGCTACTCTATTGTTCTCTCTATTGTTCTTTTTAGCCACACAAAAGAAAATAGCCACATAAAAGCATTACGGAATGAATGACATCAAAGAGAAAGAACAGTTACCTATTGTCCCTCTAGCCACATGATTACTCTCCTGTGAGTGCGGACAGACGGACAGACAGACGACGGAGAAGTGATCCCTATATGTCGCCACTACTCCGTAGAGGCGAAACAAAAATAGCTTTATTTGGTTACTTATTTAAATTATAAAAAATGGGATCGCGAAATATGTGACAACTGAAAATTTGTCTGTTTCCTGCAAAACACATTGACAATTCTAGTTGTTGTTGGTTTTGATTATATTAGTTTAAATTTTTTTTTTAATTATTTTAAGATTAATATTCATCAGATATTCCAAGAGGCATCATAAAACAAAATGTTTTAATTTGTAATTTACGACAAAATTTACTGTTGCTGATGTAACTTTTTGTAGACAGATTCTGTAACAAATTTCTTTTATTTTATTCAAACATGAGGACTCACAGTAACGAAATTGATTTCGGACCGCATAATTTTTATTCAGCCAGGACTAAGGACCGACGGACTATCGCATATACAACAGTTTTTTATATGGTGCAATTAATAATTTATACATCGCACCCTATAAACAACCTGTTAATCCGTTATCACACATGCTGATTGATGACTGCTGTGTTTACTGATTAATCATCGAGTCTGGGAAAGTCGAGCTAAAAATGTCAGAATATCAAGCCCACAGAAATAAGTACATATAAGGAAGTTCAAAATCTTCCAAGATCAAAAATTCATTTGACCACTATTTGTGACCTTGACTTGGAGATACAAACCTGAATCATGCACATTGCAAATTGTGTTAAAGTGGTACATATCTATTTCAAATAATTTAAAACCTTCCCAGTAGTCCCAGTAGTCTTTTCAAAATTTGATCTCTTTAAATTGGACACTGTAGGTTAAGCAAACTGGTTATTGTGTTCTGCTCATTGTCTTAATAATAGTAATCATTTGTACCAAGTAATGTTTCATTAAATTTGCATTAGTTTTAAAGATATGATGGCCTGACAGACTGATAGAATAACTGACAGACAGACAGACAGACAGACTGAGGACATAGGTTCCTCCCACTATACACCAGATGGTTAATAAGATACAACTTTCTGTTATGTTCTGAACTAATGCTTACAATAATGTTCCAAAGTGATATGTACTCAAACATATAGATGGAAAAAAGACGGATATGCTGAGGGTATAGGCCCTTCCTGCTATACAGCAGATGATTAACAGTAATAAAATACAACTACAAGCAATGTTCTAATACTTACAGTAATATTTCGCAATGGTATAAAGTCAAACATATGCCTTTCTGTGAAACGTGTATGAATTGACATCGGTTCCATATTTTTCAGTAGATACGTCAAACTACCATCCAATGCGTATTCGATCATAACTAAAGAGAAAAGTATTATATGATAAGCAGAGCAAATAGTTTTATGAAACATTTTAAAAAAAAGCACCAGAAAGGTGTACCAGAAAGGTGTGGCAATACATGATTTAATGCAAATTTGTTGAAGGATTATACTTGTCAGGAACATGTTTTAAATTAATTATCCAAATAAAACAACAAAGTTAGTTTGTAAATGATTTAAATTAAAAGTCAACAAAAATATTATATACCAATACTTCAAAAATATTATCTTAAAAAATAATCAAAAGGCTATGTTTAAAAAAATACTTTTGGGTTGTTGGATTATACATTACACAAACACAATTATATAGGTCAAATGGGGACTCTCAAGCTTTACTCATGGAGGAAGACCACAGGTGTCCCTCGGTGTAGTATCACATGTACAAGAGGGCATCTGAGTAGAACCACCAATGTTCTGTAAGCTAGCTGGATAGTTTCCTTTCATAAAACAACCTAATGTCTTTGGAGGGATGCAAACCTACAGAGAATGAATTCAATGACCTCTTGGCCACTGATGCCCTTACAACTTTTTAACTACCTCCATTTTCATCCCTACAAAAAAATTTGTTACCTTCCTTTACATCAAGAACATCAATATCAATAAAGACAATTTATCTTAATTTACATCAAGAACATCAATATCCATAAAGACAATTTATCTTAATGTTTATTATTTTACAAAGTTATGAATCTACTTTTATAAAGAACAACAACAAATTATCATAATATTGCAAGCAATCCATAAGTCCCCTACCGGTTAGAACCCCGTCAATATTCTGAAGGGCCATTGGTCATTTACTAATGTTTCAATTTTTCTATATTTAAAGTAAATTTGTTGGAAAATTCTTTAAAAGTGATCACAGGAAACAGTTTTTATGAACAGACAGACGGACTGAATAACACTCTAAAGTTAATATTTGAAACATCCCTGTTACCAAAATATAACATTTTTAAAAGCAAAATTCTTAAAGAGGAGATAACTCTTGAATTAAAGATGCAATTTCATAAAAAAATTCAGCTCTTTTTGACTAATCACAAATATTGTTAAGTATATTTGACATATTTTAAGCCTATTTGTTGCCAAGACAACCAATATTCTTTCAAAATAAGAACAAAAGATAAGACATGCATAATCTCCAGACTGCCATCTATCCATATGTCAAGTTTCATAAAAATATTTTCAATACTTTTTGAGTTATCACTGAATTCAGTTTATGTGTAAAATTTGCCATGTTTATTTTCAGCCTATTTGTTGCCATAGCAACCAGAATTTTCAACATAGGAAGGAAAGAAAAACACGTGCATAATTTCCATACTGCCATCTATCCATATATCAAGTTTCATAAAAATATTTTCAGTACTTTTCATGTTATCGCTGGATCCAGTTTTGTGGACGGACGGACTGACGGACGAACAGACGGACGGACAGACAGACGAACAGACGGACGGAGGGTAAACCTAAAACCCCCTCCGGTAAACCGGTAGGGGACTAATAAGCTGATGCTACCTTTCAAATATCTTTTTCTGAATACTATATGTTTGGAGGAAAAGACTGTTATGATGAAATCTTAACATAACTATAAAACTCTTTCGTAATTTACTACACCTCCCCATGGCAGAACCATTTTTCTTTTACACCAGGGCAATGTGTTTTTACCTACTGAAGGGGCAATTATACAAGCCAATATCTTAGCTGAGAGCATTGCAGTTTGTACACAAGAAGATTCAGGACTTTCCTATATCTTATAAGTCTATAAAAAGTAAGAGACTCAATGAACTCAATAACACATCACAGTCTCTCATTCAAAGTTTTAGGTTTTTTCACACACTTCAGAGGTTTCCTAAACTTTTCCAGTTTCATGTACAATTCTTTATCAACAACTCTGATTTCAAAGTGTAATACTCCTTCCAAAACAGTCAGCAAAACACTAAGGGAAAGAAGTCAAATGGGAATAAGGCAAGAGCTAAACCCAGAAAACAAAGAGGCCAAGGGAGAATAATGGTCTGAAGAGGGTAAGGGAGAAGACATGCCATACACATACTGTCTGATAGGGCCAATATTGCCTACTGGGCATGATTCATACAACTTATACCAAATATCTAAGCAGTGTTATTTAGAGAAGAAGAATTCTAAAGGTTTCATTTTAAGCCTTTTTTTAAGCTCATGTAAATTTAATTTGAATCAGACTGAAACCATTTGTGCTTTGGTAGAAAGCCATCTAAGCATAATTGCTAACAATTGGTCAAAATTATCAATTTGATTTATGAGAGGTTGTCTAAAGATATTGTAGCTGTTGACGCATTCTAAAGGTGAGCTGATAATGTTACCATAGAGATGATAATAAGATATTTCCTTAGATTTGTATTGATGACCTCGTTCTTAGTCCAAGATCACTCATATTCAAACAAGAAGTTATCATGACAGTGAGCAGTACGGTCCTGTGTTAAAGGAACTCCACTGAGGTTTTTTGACATGAGAGGACTGAAGATATGTTTTCCAAATAAATGTACCATTTGATGAAGGTTTAGACCACTAATCTTTGTGCAAAATTTCAGATCATTCGCACACGTCGTTTTTCCAGAAAATTATATTCAAATTATAAAAACATGACCCAAAATGAAAAGCGTATAAACGCTTGTCACTCAAATTGTGCTAATTAAAGCATAAAATACATTTTTCAATTGATTTAAAAGTATATTTCTTAACTATCTTTGCATATATTTCTGTTTAAAGTGCCCTAGCTTATTTATGTAAGAAATTCGAATGTTATGTTTTTAGGCTTTTTAACCTCAGTGGAGTCCCTTTAACCAAGCTTTATATGATTTTAGCTAGTGATCAAGTCTTTAGTACCTAAAGAACTTCTAGTGGTAAAAAGTATTCATGTAATATAATTATTTTGTAGACTTGGTATTTGAGTAATGATGACTTTTATTCAAAACATGACTTTGACTCAATTGAACATATTTCCTTTTATACTTATTTCAATTTTTAGCTCTAGCAGCAATATTTAAGGCAGAACAAGATTAGTTTATTTTTGTAGAGGACCACCTAAGAATCATTCCCAATGAGTTTCATTAAAATCATTCCATGAGAGGGCTATACTAGTAGTTTACTTTTACTTTAAACCAACTTTTAGTCAACTTAATATCATAAATTGTCCAATTAATAGCAGACGAATCAATGTATAAAACATTATTCTCCAAGTAATTTATGTAAGTACATAATTATCACCTAGTGTTTTAATACAAAATGATTTACAAATGTAGGCAATATATCAAGAATAATCTTACGTTTGTATTCATCCATATTATTGAATTTAGCTTTTACATCTTCGATGTTGAACAAGCTTTCATGTGATTCAGACATTCCTCTTTTTAATATTTTCTCAGTTGACTTTTCTTTCCTGTCTGTTCCTGATAGCTGTTTAGTGGCAGATTTATCCGTCTCAATTTTTCTTTCATCTGAAGAGTTACCTCTAACTTTGTCTGATTTAAGACTTGTTTCATTATTTTCATGTCCACCATCTTTTTCATTTTCATCATTGGCACTATCAAAAACTTCTCCTCTATTTACATCATTATAATTTATATATTTATCATTCTTATTATCATTATTCCCTTGTTCTACATTAGGATGAGGTATTGTATCATGAACCTCAACAGGAACTCTTTGTTGGATTTCATCTTCATAATCTTGGTCAGATAACAGTGGTTCATCTTCACCATCAAAAGCATGCTGCAATATTGAAGAAACATCAATAGATGTTACATTGTGTTTATTATTTATATAATGTTGATGATTCCAATTGATTGTTACAGTATAATTCATCACAGAAAAAAACAAACAAGACCACTGCAAAGGCAGGGCATGGACGCCAAATGTAAATTTGTTTGAGTAATCAAAAATAACCTTTTGATAAGGGTAGAGACTCAATCAAGAAACAAACTTGTCTGAAAAATGTTTTATCTTAATTATCCTTTGGTACCATATGACCTCCAAGGTGGAGGCATTTCTAAATGCATGATTCATAAAACTTTTATAGAGGTCTACTAGGCTATGCTATATGCCAAATATATAGAGGCAAAGTATTATCAACAAAAAGATAAGATGTGATTTCTTAGGGCAGGGCCAATTTTTACTTTGGGGCATGATTAATATATCTCTTGTAGAAATCTACAAATTGATGAAATATTCCATTGTAGTTTCACACAATAAGACTTACATTTGATGTCCTATATTAAAGAAACTCTGGGGCCAATTAAGACTCCAGGGGCATGGTTAATATCAATTTTGCACATGTTCACAAGGCAATGCTACATGCTTAATATTTTCTTGGCATTGTAGTTTCCAAAAATAAGATTGAAATTTGTTTTCTCATACAAAATTATATCAACTAAGTGACCTCTGGGATGGGGCCAACATTGCCCTAAGGGATATGATTAATACTAGTTTTGTAGAGGCCAACAAGGCAACGCTACATGTCAAAACTCTAAACTCTAGGCATTGTAGTTTCACTAAATTAAGACTTAAATTTGTTTTCCTACACAAAATTATACAAGAGGGCCCAGAGGATTGCTGACCTGAGAAAAAGGTCAAACGGTTAAATTGGAGCCCCTTTTCACCACAGAAGCACGATTTGAAAACAAGGGACAGCTTAATCTGAACAATTTTTTACACTGTAACCAAAATAATTTTAGTGTAAAATTATTCCAAAATTAAACCGGTGGCTGAGATGTGGTTTAGATGTTGTTTTCTAATTTTAGCTCTGGTAGCCATTTTATTAAACAGTTCAGTCAGTCACTGTGAGAGGTGAGATAATAAAAAGATGACTGGAAAAAAAGGAAAACAAACATTTAACCTGGCTGGGGATCGAACAGTCGACCTCGATCCCATGAGGTGGAGCCAATTTTGACCCTAGGGGTTTTATTTCAACAAACATGGTAGACATACACTAGAACATGTTTCATGCCAAATATCTATGCTCTACTTCTTTTGAATTTTCACAAGAAGATCTTTTAAGTTTTTACTACATACTTAAAACGAAAATCAATGACCCCTTGTGCCGGGCCAATTTTGACCCTTGAGATTTTATTCAAACAAAATGGCAGACATCTACTAGCAGATGTTTTATGCCAAATATGTCAGCTTTAGCTCTTTTGGATTTTCACAAGAAGATTTTTTTAAGTTTTAACTATAAGGAAAATCATTGACCTGGGGTGGGGCCAATTTTGACCCTAGGGCTTTTATTTGAACAAACTTGGTAGATTTCTACTAGGATGAGCCATCACAAAAACTCACTTTGAGGACATTGTCCTAAGGTGAGCTAAAAAACTAATTGACCCCTGAGACGGAACCAATATTGGCCCAAGATGCATGATTAATACCAGTTATTTTGTAGTCCACAAAGTGATGTTACATGCCACATATTTAAGTTTTTAGCATCATAAATCTCGGATGTGTTTTTCCTATATAAGTCTACATAAATTAAGTGACCCCTGGGGAGGAGCCATTATTGAACCAAGGGCATGATTCATAATAGTTTTTGAAAGGTCATGTAATATATATAATTTTTTCCTATATGGTCTAAATGATAAGAGTTTAAACCAAATTGTGAAATTGATACAAAATGATTAAGTGTGACCTTGACGTGAGAAAGGTCACACATGCAAGCAGCAAATTGTCTCATTATGGTCAACATTTCTGCCAAGTAGTTCCAATTCTCTTCCACCAGTTCAGTACAAATAAATGTCCTTCACAGACTAGTGGTAAAGAGAATGACTCTTTGTGGCATAAAGAACATATAAATAGATAAGAAATGAAGAACAAAGTACCGCAAAGGCGGAGCAATATACGCCCGAACAAAACTTGTTTGAGTTATAAAAAAATATTTCAATTCAGGAATAAAAACAAGAGCTGTCATCGATAGAGATGATATCAATATATTGTTGATATTTTTCTGTCGATAAATAATTAATACACATTTGAAAAAATCAATTATTTCGATAAATTATTTAAATGTCAATGAATTATGAAAATTCACTAAAAACATATTCTAAAGCAGGTGGCAAAGAAAACAAGAGGGCCATGATGGCCCTAGATCGTTCACCTGACTTATCAAACTCATCCAAACAATTACCTAGACAAGCATTCTGACCAAGTCTCATGACAGGTGAGTCAAAAATGTGACCACTACAGTGTTAACAAGGATTATCCATATTTGAGCAGTGCGACCTAGTTTTTTACCCAGGTGACACATATTCAAACTTGACCTAGAAATCATCAAAACAAACTTTTAGACCAATTTCCAGGATACTTGGATCAAAGCAGTAGCAACTAGAGTGTTAACAAGATTTTTCTATTTTTAGCTCCGGTGACCTAGTTTCACATGTGATTTCGAACTCATCGAAGAAATTACTGTACCTAGACAAGCATCCTGACCAAGTTTGATGATAATTGAGTCGAAAATGTGACCACTAAAATGTTAACAAGGTTTTTCCATATTTGGGCGGTGTGACCTAGTTTTTCATCCAAGATGACCCATGTTCGATCTTGACTTAGAAATCATCAAAACAAACTTTCAGACCAATTAACAGAATATTTGGATCACAACAGTAGCCACTAGAGTGTTAACAAGATTTTTCTATTTTTAGCTCAAGTGACCTAGTTTTTCATCTGAGATGACCCATGTTCGATTTATTCCCAGCAATGACCTAGACAAGTTTCCTGACCAAATTTGATGACAATTGAGTAAAAATTGTGACCACTAGAGTGTTAACAAGGTTTTTCTATTTTTAGCTCCTGTGACCTAGTTTTTCATCCGAGATGACCCATGTTCGAGCTCATCCGAGCTATCACCTAGACAAGCATCTTGATCAAGTTTGATGATGACTGATGCAAAAATGTGACCGCTAGAGTGTTAACAAGGTTTTTCTATTTTTAGCTCCGGTGACCACAATTTTTTCAACATAGATGACCCACGTTCAAACTCATCCGAGCTATCACCTAGACAAACATCCTGACCAAGTTTGATGATGATTTGGGCAAAATTGTGACCTCTAGAGTGTTAACATGGTTTTTCTATTTTTAGCTCCGGTGACCTAGTTTTCATCCGAGATGACCATTGTTCAAACTCATCCGAGCTTTCACCTAGACCAGCATCTTGACCAAGTTTGATGATGACTGATGCAAAAATGTGACCGCTAGAGTGTTAACAAGGTTTTTCTATTTTTAGCTCCGGTGACCTACTTTTTTATCCGAGATGACCCATGTTCGAACTCATCCGAGCTATCACCTAGACAAGCATCTTGACCAAGTTTGATGATGATTTATGCAAAAATGTGACCGCTAGGAGTGTTAACAAGGTATTTCTATTTTTAGCTCCGGTGACCTACTTTTTCATCATAGATGACCCACGTTCAAACTCATCCGAGCTATCACCTAGACAAACATCCTGACCAAGTTTGATGATGATTGAGGCAAAATTGTGACCTCTAGAGTGTTAACATGGTTTTTCTATTTTTAGCTTCGGTGACCTAGTTTTCATCCGAGATGATCCATGTTTTAACTCATCCGAGCTTTCACCTTGACAAGCATCTTGACCAATTTAAATGACGACTGATGCAAAAATGTGACCGCTAGAGTGTTAACAAGGTTTTTCTATTTTTAGCTCCGGGGACCTACTTTTTCATCCGAGATGACCCATGTTCGAACTCATCCGAGCTATCACCTAGACAAACATCCTGACCAAGTTTGATGATGATTGAGGCAAAAATGTGACCTCTAGAGTGTTAACAAGGTTTTTCTATTTTTAGCTTTCGTGACCTAGTTTCTCATCCGAGATGACCCATGTTCGAACTCATCCGAGCGATCAACTAGATAAGCATCCTGACCAAGTTTGATGATGATTGAGGCAAAAATGCGACCGCTAGAGTGTTAACAACTTAATGTGAACGGACGACGGACGACGGACGGACGGACGACGGACGGACGACGGACAATCATCGATCCTGAAAGCTCACCCTGAGCATGCTCAGGTGAGCTAAATATCATGCAAAGGTCATTTAGAAACGAAACACAACATATTTGCATGGACGGAAAATTTATTTTATTAAAATCATTTAAACAGGTATGAAAAAGTATCATCAAGAAATCAGGAGTTTTTATCAATACATCAGTATATCACCGATATTTGTCATAAGATAATGGTATATCGTCAATATGCTTTGCACTGAATCAATGACAGGTCTAATAAAAACTCATTCATAAAACTTCACAATGAAAATCTTTATCTAAATTTTTCTTTTATTCTTTACCCTACATGCATGATTCATAAAACTTAAGGTAGAGGACTAAAAACGACTTGTGACTATTAAAAATTGAAAACAAAAATCAATGATATAAATAAACTAACCTTTATTTGCATTTCCCCTTTGTTACTACCAATAGATATCTGAGCATTTTTACCCTTAGTCTTTACTACAGGACCTTGGTAGATATATTGGTGTTTATGAATAACAATTGGTTGTGAATGTCTTAGACTAGGTGTAGACGTATCCTCTTCTTCACAAATTGGTGCCTTTCTTGATGATCTAATTTTAGTTTCATCTTCCACTGTAGCATTTCCATCAACAACTGATCTGCCATTTTGTGGTACTTCAACATACGGTTCCATGTCTAAATTAGAAAATAAAGAATAGAGTAATTTATGTTATCACAAACAAATGGGCCATAATGGCCCTAATATGATATTGCTCACCTAATTATTAAGGCTCTTAATGACAAGGAACAATAAATATTGTTAACCATGAATGAAATGTAGATTTAATGACTTAATCTTAAACTGATATCATTATGTTCATATTCACATCTGCAAAATTGCAAATGTAAACATGTTTTTTCCCACATGAAATCTTGACGCCGACGCTGGGGCGAGTAGGACAACTCTCTATATACTTCATATAGTCGCGCTAAAAAGTTATTCAAACTGATTTATTTTCTATCTTGAAACTAATAATATATGGGCCTAAGTGGTTCATAAACAGTCTGCTACTTTATTGCTAAGGTATAATTAAAATAGAAATGTGTCCATAGGACACGGTTGCCCCCACACTCCACCGATTTGTCAATCTTTTGTCTCTAGGTCAAAATTTTTTTGGCTACATGTGCCCAAGTTGAAAACTAAAAATCTTTTATTAAGAAATGTGCAAATACTACAAATACTGATACTGAATAAATCTACAAGAAAACCCCAAGGTGCATAAGTACACATGCTGACCAACAAACTTTCAGGCCTACAGGTCAAATACTTATTGAGTGACGTGCAACACAAGTTGAATATTGTAAATTCTTATTATGTCAAGGGCAATAACTTTAAAAAATACTCGAAACATCCACACGAAAATACCCAGATGCACAACTTCATATGCTGATCAATATTCCTGTAAGGTTTCGTGACTCAAGGTCAAATATTTTTTGAGTTACGTGTGACACAAGTTGAAAATTGCAAATTTTTACTAAGTCAAGGGCAATAACTGTAAAAATACTAAAAATATCCACACAAAATATAAAGGTACACAACTACACATGCTGAGCAACATTCTTGTAAGTTTTCATGACTCTAGGTCAAATATTTTTAGTTACATGCGACACAAGTTGAAAATTGGAAATTTTTAATAATTCAAGGGCAATTACTCTAAAAATACTAAATATATCCACACAAAAATACCCAGGTGCACAAGTATACATATTGATCAACATTCCAGAGAGGTTTCATGACTCTAGGTCAAATATTTTTTGAGTTACTTGCGACACAAGTTGAAAATTGCAAATTTTTACTAAGTCAAGGGCAATTACTCTAAAAATACTAAATATATCCACATGAAAATACCCAGGTGCACAACTTCACATGCTGATAAACATTCCTGTAAGGTTTCATGACACTAGGTCAATTACTTTTTGAGCTATGTGGGACACAAAAAGAGAACGGACGGACGGACAAGGGTAAATCTAAATGCCCCCCCCCCTCTATAGTGGGGGTACAATAAAAGGTGCCACTGGTACATGCTGGGAATGTAATCGAACCCACAAAATTGTACAAATTATTAGTTTTCAAGAATTCTATATAATTATGGTTCACATTGAAACTATTCATAACCCTTTCCACCATGACGTCATCAAGTCATGACGTCACAAATGTTTATGTTGAAAAATATGGCTTGCATTGACAATTTGAGGGAACCTAGTATTCTTTAAACACATTTGTTTGACTATAAGAATAAGTAATGGCAACAGGATGTTGTGCACTTTGTCACAGAATCAAAAGACACCTGGTGAAGGGAGGGATGTATAATGACAATTTCAGTCATCATTGAGTCAAAATGTTCATTACTCCAATAAGAGCAAAAAGAAACATTATACCCCTGGCACCCTTCACTATATTGAGGCAAATAAGTAATAGAAAGAGCACCGAAACACGAGGCTATCTGATTTGTACGAGGGGGCGTAGCCCCCGAGTATTAATCAGATTGCCGAGTGTTTTGGTGTTCTTTCTCTTTTGTATCATAGTCAAACAAAAAAGCCCGTTCCCTGTTGTCACAATATGAAATCCCGGCAAAAATGAACCAATGAACGAACATCTGAATATGACATTTCTGTCGCTTTCCCTTTCTCTGCCGTCACAATATGTAAACCCCAGCAAAAATGAGCCAATCAATGGGCATGCTCTGGAGTGCGGGTAACTAATACCCGCACTCCAGTTAACGCACTGTGCATGTATATGTATATGATTTAACCCTGACACATTTTCAACAGAAATGTCTCCAAACTATGATACAACTATGGTATTGCATAAATATTAATAATTAGTTTTGTCAAAGTCTTATTTATATCATTCAAAAAAGTATTCAGTGTTCACTAGTAATTGAAAGCAAATGTGACAAACATTTGTGGTTTATTTGGTGTGTTTGATGTATAAGAGATATTTTGTCCTAGGAATGATTTCTTACATAAACCTTAAAATTTATAACTTAAAAATACAAATAGCATGTGACTGGGAACCCTTTCATCTTCCACTGTAGCATTTCCATCAACAACTGATCTGTCACTTTGTGGTGCTTCAACATACAGTTCCATATCTAAATTAGCTGCATTAAAAGAAAAGAAAAGAATAGAGTAATTTATGTTATCACAAACAAATAGACCATGATAGCCCTAATATGATATCGCTCACCTAATTATTAAGGCTCTAAATGACAAGGAACAATAAATATTGTTAACCATGAATGAAATGCAGATATAATGTCTTAATCTTAAACTGATATCATAATGTTCATATCCGCATCTGAAAAATTGCAAATGTAAATATGTATTTTTTTTTTCAAATTGGGGCTGTGCCACCAAGTTTTGACCCTAGATGACCTATAATCAAACTTGAGGTATAAAACTTTTTAACAACCTTACCAACAAATTTCAAGGATACTTCAACTAAAAATATTACATTTACAGTGTTTACAAGGTCTTTTTCATATTGGGCTCCTGACGACCCATATTCAATTTGCATATCAACCTTTCTGGCAAATTTCCAGGATATTTGGGCTGAAAATATTGTTTCTACAGAATTATCTATTTGGACTTTGTGACCTAGATTTTGACTAAATATTCAAACTTGACCTAGAAATCATGAAAACATCTGACAAATTCCCATTATATTTGAAATGAAAATATTATCTCTTGAGTGTTTAAGGAACTTCACTGATTTTTATTTGACAAGATGGGACTGGAATTTTTTTCCGAGATTTGTAGATCTGCAAAATAACGTGTGTGCAAATTTTCAGGTCATTCTCGCACCTTGTTTTACCTATACAGTCAAGACTGCCTGAGGGACTCCCTGATTTCAACGAATCCCTGTCTTATCCGACCTTGTTTCAGTCCTCCCAAGGTATTTCCCTATATAAATGGTCTGAATTAAACGACTCCCTGTCATACGATAGTATGTGACAAGCGACCCTAATTATCTGGTCCCAATGCATTGCTTTGTCTGATTTGAACGACTTTCACACCTTTTAATTGTCGTTTATCAGATAAATAATACCTGTTTGGGTCAAAATAATTTAGTCCAATTATTATCCAGTAGCAAGTACTTCAAACAATCTCTACACAACTCTGCATCAGTTACACAGATTACAGGTATCAAGTGACTAGTGTCTACTCTCTACTGCCAAATATGGTAAGCATGATGCAAATGATGTGTATTAACTAATTCAGGTATGAAGTAAATAATGACCTGAGCAAACTAGATTAAGACTTTGTGTCAGATTTTTTTACTGTTTATGTAGTGCCAAAGGACGATTTTTTAGATTTTTTAGGCAGCATTCCATTTTAAGAGATGAATATGTCCGGTCATTTTCTCAACTAGTTTTTCCTATACATGTATATTGAATTTCATTGTGCAAACTGACCCAAAATGCAACGCTTTAAACTCCAATTCAGATAATAATGACACTAAAAATTGACTGCAATTTTGGTGATGTGATGATAAAGTGCTGTAACATAGCAAGTAGTTTACTGCAGGAAGTATCTGGATGACTGCATGGCATGGTTTGCATTGACAATTTGAGGGACATTGCTATTCTTTAAACATAATTGCTAACAGCATGGATCCTGATCAGACTGCGCGGATGCGCAGGCTGTTCTGGATTCATGCTGGTCGCAAACGCACTGTGTTGGTTTTGTCGTGACGCGGCTCATATTTGTTTGACTACAAGAATAAGTAATGGTAATAGGATGATGTGCACTTTGTCACAGGATCATAAAAGACACAAAAGGGATGTATAATGACAATTTCAGTCATCAGACATAAACCACTTCGAAAATGTTCATAACTCCAATAAGAGCAAGTAGAAACATTATACCCCTGGCACCCTGCACTATATTGAGGCAAATAACTATGATATTGCATAAATATTAATATCTAGTTTTGTCAAAGTCTTATTTATATTATGCAAATAAGTATACAGTGTTCACTAGTAATTGAAAGCAAATGTGACAAACATTTGTGATTTATTTGGTGTGTTTGATGTATAAGAGATATTTTGTCCTAGGAATGATTTTCTTTCTTACATAAACCTTAAAATTAATCACTTAAAAAATACAAATACAAATAGTATGTGAATGGGAACACTGACATCAAATAAATAGCAAAAATTTCACAACTTACGATATGGACAGAATCTTTCTATACATTTCCTTCCAAGACCTAAAACAAAAAGAAAATCTTTACGAATTCAAATAAAAACATAATTGAAAAGAATCTATATAATTTATAAAAATGAATGCAATATTGTTTATGAGAAAATACAGACTGTTTATGTAATACATTTGCCCAGGGGCATATACCATAAAACAAGAGGGCCATGATAGCCTTTATATTGCTCACCTGAACATAAATACTCTTCATGATAAGGAACAAGTAATATTGTGAACTATAAACAAAAGATACAAAATATCTTAATCTTAAACTGATATCACAAAGTTCATATTTGTATCTGAAATAGTGCATGTATAAAAAAATTACTGGCTGCTATTTCTAAGGGAAAACAAAATGCTATAAAATAAAATGGTAGATTCACTGGTTGCTAGGGAAAGTTAATGTTTTGCTATGGTACTCACTGGTTACTATGAAAATGTACAGTTTGCTACGAAAAGTCAATGGCTGCTTTGAAGTCACTAACAGTTATGAAAACTATTTAGCTTTATTTTTTAATTTTCAATTTTTACCCAAGGGCATAATTTGAACAATCCTTGTAGAGGTCCACGAGACAATGTTTCATACCAAATATTTAAACTGAAGCCTCTAAAGTATAATAGAAGAAGAGTTCAAGGGCTTCTGTTCAATTTAATTGAAATTGTCATGCTATATATAATATTGTAGTTATTTGTTAAGGCCGCTTGTTATAAAGAATATTTAGACAAATATACTTTTTATTTATATAAATATTTTCTGATATTTTGTATTGAGAGAGGTCTACTAGACAATGTTTCATACACAATATCTAAGCTAAAGTCTGAAAAAGTTATAAGAAGAATTAATTACCCCCTGTGCCAGAGCCAATTTCGACCCCAGGGCTTTTATTTCAACAAACTTGGTAACACTCCCTAAAAAATTTTCATGCTTTATATCTAACTCTAGCTCTCTGGCTTTTGAAGAAGATTTTTATACCCCCGCACAACAAAGTTGTAAGGGGGGTATACTGGAATCAGCTTGTGCGTCCGGTTGTCCGGCCGTCGGGCGTCCGGCTGTCCGGCCGGCCGTCCGTCGGTTTTTTCTTGTCCGCCCAATAACTTCAGATTCCTTTGACCCACAGTCTTCATATTTGGCATGTAGGTTAGTCATGACGAGGAGATGACCCATATTGATTTTGAGGTCGCCAGGTCAAAGGTCAAGGTCACAGGGGCCTTGACTTCAAAAAGCTTGTCCGCCACAAAACTTAAGATTCCTTTGACCCACATTCTTAATATTTGGCATGGAGGTTTGTCATGACAATTAAATGACCCCTATTGATTTTGAGGTCACTGGGTCAAAGGTCAAGGTCACAGGGGCCTTGACTTCAAAACGCTTGTCCGCCCAAGAAATAAAGATTCCTTGGACCTACAGTCTTCATATTTTGCATGGAGGTTAGTCATGATTAGTAGATGACCACCTATTGATTTTGAGGTCACCATGTCAAAGCTCAAGGTCACAGGGACTTTGACTTTAAAAAGTTATATATACTGGAATCAGCTTGTGCGTCCGGTTGTCCGGCCGTCGGGCGTCCGGCTGTCCGGCCGTCGGGCGTCCGGCTGTCCGGCCGGCCGTCCGTCGGTTTTTTCTTGTCCGCCCAATAAATTAAGAAGCCTTTGATCCACAGTCTACATATTTAGCATGGAGATTAGTCATGATAAGTAGATAACCCCTATTGATTTTAAGTTGACTGGGTCAAAGGTCAAGGTCACAGGGGCCTTGACTATAAAAAGATTGGCTGCCCAATAACTTAAGATTCTTTTGACCCATAGTCTTCATATTTGGCATGGAGGTTAGTCTTGATAAGTAAATGACCCCTTTTGATTTTGAGGTCACTGGGTCAAAGGTCAAGGTCACAGGGGCCTTGATTTCAAAGAGTTTGTCGGCCCAATAACTAAAGAAACTTTTGACCCACAGTCTTCATATTTGGCATGTAAGTTAGTCTTGATAAGTAGATGACCCCCACTTATTTTTTTACACTGGGTCAAAGGTCAAGGTCACAGGGGCCTTGACTAAAAAAGCTTGTCCGCTCAAAAACTTAAGATTCCTTTGACCCAAAGTCTTCATATTTGGCATGGAGGTTAGTCATGATTAGTAGGTGACCCCTATTTATTTTAAGGTCACTGGATCCAAGATTAAGGTCACATGGACTTTGACTTTAAAAAGCTTGTCCGCCCAATAACTTAGGATTCCTTTGACCCACAGTCTTCATATTTGGGATGGAGATTAGTCATGATGAGCATATGACCCCTATTGATTTTGAGGCCACCAGGTCAAAGGTCAAGGTCACATGGGCCTTGACTTCAAAAAGCTTGTCCGTCCAATAACTTAAGATTCCTTTGACCCACAGTCTTCATATTTGGCATGGAGGTTAGTCATGATGAGTAGATGCGTCCTATTGATTTTGATGTAACTAGGTCAAAGGTCATGGTCACAGGGGCCTTGACTTCCAAAAGCTTGTCCGCCCAATAAATTAAGATTCCTTGGACCCAAAGTCTTCATATTTTGCATGGAGGTTAGTCATGATTAGTAGATGACCCCTATTGATTTTGAGGTCACCAGGTCAAAGCTCAAGGTCACAGGGACTTTGACTTTAAAAAGCTTGTCCGCCCAATAAATTAAGAAGTCTTTGATCAACAGTCTACATATTTAGCATGGAGGTGAGTCATGATAAGTAAATGACCCCTTTTGATTTTGAGGTCACTGGGTCAAAGGTCAAGGTCACAGGGGCCTTGATTTCAAATAGTTTGTCGGCCCAATAACTTAAGAAACCTTTGACCCACAGTCTTCATATTTGGCATGTAAGTTAGTCTTGATAAGTAGATGACCCCTATTTATTTTTTTTACACTGGGTCAAAGGTCAAGGTCACAGAGGCCTTGACTAAAAAAGCTTGTCCGCTCAATAATATTTGGCATGGAGGTTAGTCATGATAAGTAAATGACCCCTATTTATTTTATGGTCACTGGATTAAAGATTAAGGTCACATGGACTCTGACTTCAAAAAGATTGTCCACCCATTAACTTAATATTCCTTTGACTCACAGTCTTCATATTTGGCATGGAGGTTGATCATGACTATAACGTGACCCAAATTGATTTTGAGGGTTACTGGGTCAAAGGTCGACTAAAAAAAGCTTTTCCCCTCAATTGCTTAAGAATGCCTGTCCGCAGTTTATTGATTTTGACATTTTCACATTTGTCCCATGTAGAATACATAGCACTGGCTTAGTAACCTCAGATTTGGCAGGGACGTTGTCCTTGAGCTCTAAATGGCCACTGTTGATTCTGACAAGTGGTATGCGGGGGTATTCACGCCATGACAGTGGCTGTTCTAGTTTTTTACTATATATGTATAAAGAACTGTGGTGGGACCAATTTTAATCCCAGGGCTCTTATTTCAACAAACTTGGTTACACCCACTAGAAGATGTTTCATGCTAAATATCTAAGCTTTTTGGCTTTTAAAGAAGAAGATTTTTTTTTTAAGTTTATACTATATACATATCTGGAAAATCAATGACCCTCTGGGGCGGGGCCAATTTTGACACCTGGGCTTTTATTTGAATAAACTTGGTAGACACTCACTAGAAGATGTTTCACGCTTAATATCTGAGCTCTTTTGGTTTTTTCAAAGAAGATTTTTAAGTTTTTACTATATACATATAAGTAAAATCAAAGACACTCACTAGAAGATGATTCATGCTAAATATCTAAGCTTAAGTTCTCTTGGGTTTTTTAAAGAAGATTTTTTAGTTTTTTCTTTCGGTTGCCATTGCAACCAAAGTTCTACATTTTCAAAGATGACCATCAAAAGAACATTCCCGTGAAGTTTGGATGAAATTGGCTTAGTTGTTTATGAGGCAATGTTGTTTAAGTAAAAGTTTACAGATGGACAAACGACGGACGACGGACAGATGGATGCTGGATGAATTGTGATCTCAAAAAAAATTCCAAAGAAAACTACTGTTTATAATTATGATACACATATGTTTTTTTCCATATTTGGACTGTGTGACCTACTTTTTTACCCTAGATGACCCGTATTTAAACTGCATTAGAAATCATAAAAACAACCTTTCTGACCTTAAAGTGTTAACAAGGTTTTTCCATATTTGGAAACCTATGGCCCTCGGGCTGGGGCCTTGACAATAGAGGCAAACTTTGAACAACTTTGTCAGAGGTCCAATAGTTGATATCATTTACCAAATATCAAAGCTGTAAGTCTTGTATCTTCAAACAATAAATTTTTGTGTGTTAGTTTTTATACACAATGAAAAGCAATGACCCCCGATTTTGACCCCAGAATTTAAATTTGAACCATCTTAGTAGAGGTATTCTACACAATGTTTCATACCCAATATTGGTCAATTCAGAGAAGATGTTTTAAGTTCTTACTATATACGGAAAATCAATGACCATTGGGGCAAGGCTAATTTTGACCCGAAGAATATAATTTGAACAATAGACGTTATCCCGAACTCGGCAAATGTGTGTTTTTCCCAGCTAATCTGTAGGTACAAACTAACTTTTACCATTAAAGTTTCACGTTGCACTCATGTCACAATAGATAGTCAACCTGTTTCGCTTATTTTCGAAGCTGCAACTGTAAAGAGTTTGTCTGTACCTACGGATTAGCCGGGAATACCCAAATATTCTTAATTCCGGTGAGAAACTCTATTTTTGTAGAGTTTCATTAGATTATGCTACACACAAAATATCTAATCTCTAGGCCTTGCACTTTCGGAAAAGAAGACTTTTAAAGTTTTAACTTATAATATGTAATGAAATCAATAACCCCCGGGGCGGGGCCAATTTTTAGCCAAGGACTATAATTTGAACAATCCTAGTAGAGTACAAGAAAATCAAAAAAAGTGGAACAAACAATCAACACAGGATGACTTTTAAGGTTTATTTAATGACGATAACCGACGTTTCGACTCTCAAGAGTCTTCATCAGGGTTATACTAAAAAATCATTGTCTAACGTATAAAAATCTGGGGTATACTTAAAGTCACGTGATTTATTCTAAAAAGAGATTTTATGCCATTTTGGGTTTAACCAATAATCTATATTTAACTGTATGCTTTTAAGAAAAAATACTGTAAAAAGAATAAATGTTTATGTTAATGTCATTCAGTGTTTGTTTTTCGTCCTGGCAATTTGTTGATGAGCTTGTGTTGCTGCTGCACATAGAAGGATTGTTACTTCTAAATGGTGAAAGTTGAAGTGGGAATAATTCCGGATTTATTATCATTTCTTTTAATATTTCTTCAGTTGTTGATTTGGATGTATTATGGAGCCATGATTTAACGCCGGGTATTGTACGCAATTTTGGGATAATGGTTGCTTTAAATCCTGGTAGAGGTCCAATACAGAATGTTTCATGCCACTTTGTGCTCAGGTGAGCTAAAATTGTTTGTATCAGGATCAGTGAGAAAAACACACTTTTGCAAAGTTCCGTATAACATCTTTTTACTGAGGTTTTATGCTTTCAACAATTTTCTTTAAAATGTAGTATCAATATATCCGATATGTCAATGGTTGACTGTATTTTGAGGGTTGATGCCTAATTTATTTCACTCTCCATTCAGCAGTTTAAGTGGCATACACATTGATAGTTGCTGTGAAGCTGACCCCCAGGCTCCAAATATTGTTAATACTAAAACAACAAGAACTGTCACTGCCATTGCGTGAAAACCCCCGCATACCGCTTTGCCAGAATCAACAGTGAACATTTAGAGCTCAAGGACAACCTCCTTGCCAAATCTGAGGTTACTAAGCCAGTGCATTTCCATGTTATGTATTCTACATGCTTTAAATCTGAGAATGTCAAAATCATTACACTGCAGACAGGCATTCTTAAGCATTTGAGCAAACAAACTTATTATACTAAAAATCCCTGTTACCTTGACCTTTGACACAGTCAACTAAAAATCAATAGGGGCCATCTACTACTGATAAACAACCTCAATACCAAATATGAAGACTGTGAGTCAAAGGTTTATTGGGCGGACAAACATTTGAAGTCAAAGTCCCTGTGACCTTGACTTTTGACCCAGTGACCTCAAAATCCAAAGGGGTCATCTACTTATCATGACTAAACTAACCATCATGCCTAATATGAAGACTATGGGTCAAAGGAATCATAAGTTATTGGGTGGACAAGATTTTTTTAGTCAAGGCCCCTGTGACCTTAACCTTTGACCCAGTGACCTCAAAATCAATAGGGGTCATCTACTAGTCATGACTAACCTCCATGCCAAATATGAAGTGTATGGGTCAAAGGAATCTTAAGTTATTGGGCGGACAAGCTATTTTTAGTCCGGACGGCCGGACGGAATAGCTGATTCCAGTATACCCCCCTTAAAACTTCGTTGTGTGGGGGTATAAAAAGACTGGGTGCGAACCACGGGCTTGGGTCCTATTGTTAACTGTTGTTTACAGATGGCACTATCCCTTGCACCAGCAGTAATTACCGGCACTATTGCACCAAAGAGTATAATAGCTTCATGAAAATGATGCACTGCACACATCATGCAATCAGGCACTTGCCCAACCTTAATGGATATGGCTCTGAGGAGTTCACAACTGCTTAACATAGCTAGTCATGGATGACTAGTCATTACTAGGGCCCATGCTCCCATTTAGATAGAAATATTCTCATAAAAGTTGATAGTGAAACAATTTTATTAGAAATTATACAAAAACAAAAGGGTCATAATGGCCCTGAAATTGCTCACCTGTATACATGTAAATGCCCCTGGGCCAAGGCCAATTTTAAACCAGGGGCTTTTATTTGAACAAACTTGGGTTTTTTTACTTTATACAAATAAGGAAAATCAATGACCCCCTGGGGTGGGGCCAATTTTGACCCCAGGGCTTTTATTTGAACAAACTTGGTAGACACCTACAAGAGAATGTTTCATGCTTAATATCTTAGCTCTAGCTATTTGATTTTTTTAAAAGAAGATTTTTTTAGTTTTACTATATACAAAAAAGGAAAATCAATGCCCCCCCCCCCCGAGGCAAGGCCAATTTTGACCCCAGGGCATTTATTTGAACCAACTTGGAAGACACTGTCTAGATGATGTTTCATGCCAAATATTTAAGCTCTTGCTCTTTCGGTTTTTTAAAAGAAGATATTTTAAGTTTTTTCTTTCAGTTGCCAAGGCAACCAGAATTTTACTTGGAATTAAATTCTTTGAACAATTTACAATTTTTAAAGTTGACTACCGAAGGATCATTCCGGTGAAGTTTGGATGAAATTGGCTTAGCAGTTTATAAGAATGAGTTTTTTAAAGTAAAAGTTTATGGATGGACGCCGGACTGACACAGGACAAAAAGCGATCACAAAAGCTCACCATGTCACTTTGTGACAGGTGAGCTAAAAATGATGAAATACTTACCAGTTTTATTATGAATACAGTATGCCACAAAAAAATGATACCGGTAATAAGAACAGCAACAGGTATGATCCATTTTTTTTCTGAAAAATGATGACACAAATTTAAGAAAACAAGAGAATCTATTTCTATAATATATCGTAATTGTTCAACACATAAATAATTCATTAACTCACATACGGCTAGTCAGTTGTCACCATGGTGTATAAAAAAGTCTAAGATTATGTTAAAATTTAAGCTTCTGATTACAGGTTGAAACATATATCAATGTGGGACTATTAAGTTAATGGTGATTTTGGGAATTTTTTTAACTAAACTGATGTACAGAGGAAAAATATTCTGGAAATGTAAACTTGACAGTAAATAATTGAAAATTGAATTTGTTGTAAATGGGAATAAATTTATAACCCATTCTAAGTGATGAATGGTTAGATTTTTTACTATAATTATCTTAATTTGTTCAAATTTTCTTCTTCTTTTTTTTCTAGCAATTCTTATAAAATATTTACTTTTATAACCTGTTTTTCTTTTATATATTATTGAAAATCTTGACTTAAACTATTTATTGTCAATTATATATAAAAACAATAACAATACTTGATTTATGTATACAAAATAAAATATCTTATTTCAGCTTTTTGTTCATGGTTTGTATTTGTACAAGTTAAGTTCTTATAGAGGAAACTAGGTTGCAACAAATACAAGCCAGCAGTTTTTGCCATGCTTGCACAAGCTTGCTTTTAAACCTGCCCATGCTTGTCACAAGGTACAAAGAAGAGGGCCAAGGGGGCCCTGAAATCGCTCAAATGTATATAGGCCCTCAGGACGGGGCCAATTTCAACCCAAGGGCTGTTATTTGAACAAACTTGGTAGACATCCATTAGAAGATGTTTCATGATAAATATTTTAGCTCTAGCTCTTTGGGGTTTTTAAAAGATGATTTTAAGAAAAAAGAAAAACTATGACCCATTGGGGTAGGGCCAATTTTGACCCAGGGCTTTATTTGAACAAAGTTGGCAGACACCAACTAGAAGATGTTTCAAGATGTTTCATTTCATTTCTAAGCTCTAGCTCTTTGGGTTTTTAAAAGAAGATTTTTTAAGTTTTTTTTTTCTTTCGGTCGCATGATGGCAACCAGATTTCTGCATGGAATTAAATTCTTTGAACAATTTTTAAAGTTTAAAGACATGTTGTTCTTAATTCCTTCCTTGATTACTTCATTTTTAAAGTTAAATACCAAAAGAACATTCCTGTAAGGTTAAGATGAAATTGGCTGCCATAAGATGATTCCTGTGAAGTTTGGATGAAATTGGCTTAGCGGTTTATGAGGAGATGTCGTTTAAAGTAAAAGTTTACGGACGTACACCAGATGAAAAGCGATCACAAAAGCTCACCACGTTACTTTGTGACAGGTGAGCTAAAGACTAGCCAGTTAAAAGCTAACAAAATATGCCAGCAAGATACAACGACAATGATAACAGGAATAAGTAGATACAGAACAAACGACTGGACCAACAAAACACAGTATGCATTAAAGACATTTGGCAGATTCTGAAGATTTCCTTACATTAATCTTACCTTCTTCACATTTTCCATGATGTTTTAAATGGAATTTTCTCGTATAAGAAAAAGATATGTTTTTACTGAAGTAAAAGATTTGCCATGATATTTAGAGAGGAAAACTAAAATTGACTTCGTATGGTACTAGATAATGGTTCAAAACAATTCATAAAGAAATCGACTCTTGTTTACAACAAGTTATTTCTCTAAACATAAAAGCTGACAAATTATTAAACTGTATGAACTGCATGATTTGCGCTTTTTACAAGTAATCAATCCAAAGGGTAAATTATAACATACCTTCAACTGGAACTAATGGTTTTGTAGAGCTGTTTGGTTTTATGACTATTGCTGTTTTCCTGAAAAGATTTTCAACTATTTATCACTCACAAATTTAAGAAATTCACTAGGAGTGATACATGTTTCACACAGAACAAGATCTTGTTATGGGTAGACATTTTTCTAATACACCTTTTCAAGGAATCCAAAGGTTAGAGCATTTTAATGGTTTGAAGTTTAATATTCAAGAAATCGTCATTCACTTCATCATGGGAAAAAGTCATCCCGGGTTTAATTTTATTTAATGTTTGTAATGGCTCAGATCAATAGCAGCCTTAAACAATCCTACACAGAACAACATTGATCGGTTTTTGAAAAAATACTTAAAAGAATTGCAGATACATCTGAGCACTTTGTACACAGGTAAACTGAAAATTTGCTAAAAGTGTGATTATCATACATGAAGAAAAGGAACCATTATAAATATGACATTTCATAGTTTTCTTTTATTTAGCAAAGTAAGTCAAAGTTATTTATGTTTTGTGAACATATTTATTCTATGTACCTATCTCCTCCACCACCTCTGGGAATAGCAGGGACTTTTTTTTTTATTTAAACATATTTTATTGCTCTTTTTTTTTACACATTTATAACATTATATTATCATAGTATAAATACAAAAGTAGCAAAAGGGTTGAACCACGAGTTCTTACAACATCAGCAAACGGTTCTTCCCTGATATATTGAATTATCTAATAATAATAAGACAGTTACAAACCAAAATGTATGATAGTAGAGCAATTAGGGAAAAATGCACAAGGAGAAAGAAGAAGAAAAGCATTACATAAAAGGAAAAGAAAAAAAAAAGGGATAGAGTTCAGTAAGTAGGGATATCAATTGATCGTGGCAAGTAGTACAGATAATATTAAAAAATTAAGATTCAAATCTACACGATAATTTAATAAATAATTGTACCTTATCAAAAATAAATAAGTTATTCTCATCAGAAAGAGATTCTTTTCCAAACAAAAGGGTCTTTACGCTCAAAGGATGGAAACTGCGAGTTGAGCGGAATAACTGCACTCTTATTTCGTTATATTTGGGACATTTAAAAAAGTAATGTTCGCATCTTCAATACTGGATGTACAGTAGCTACAAAGTGAGTTATCTCGTAGATGATTTTTACAAAGATCCGCATTAAGATTACTACATTCGTTTCTAATACGTGCATGGTAAACAGATAAACTTCGATCTCCGTATTACAAAATATTTAGGAACAGTATGTGGTTTATAAATTTCTTTGAGACGAGATTTAAAAATATTAAGAGAAGCCGCATGTCTAATATGATCATCCAAATTGTTCCATAACTCTATGGATGAAGGAATGAAAGATTTTTGCGAATATTTGTGTCCTCCGTGCGATTGTCACATAGTTGTTATCATTTCGGAGGAAGTATGGAGTAGAATTAGCGACACTATTTGGGAAAAGATTTAGTAAGTAGCTTGGAACATTGTTTTGATGGGCTTTGTAAACTATTATTAATTTTTGCATAATTCTTCTATCCGACAAAGATACCCAGCCAATTTCTCTAAGTAAACGGTCTATAGATACCGATCTAGTTAGGCCTGTGACAACACGCGCTGCTTCATATTGCATCTTTTCAAGAGAATGTTTTATCATTTTCATTACAGCCATCCCAAACAGTGGAGGCATATTCGAGGATTGGTCGCATATATGATAAATAAATTTGATTTAATGTATTTCGTTTGAGTTTAAATTTCAATGATTGCATTGAGCTTAGAACTTTAGAAGCTGATGTCATAATATTTATTAATGTGTTCGTGCCATTTTCCATCTTCACTCAATGTAAGTCCTAGATGTTTATGCGTTTTTACATAAGTAAGTTGGGTATTTTTCAAAGAATAGAGAAGGGGCGTTGTTCATCATTTAAGGAAAAAACATTACTTCTGTTTTATCTGGATTAAATTTAATTAACCACTTATGGGACCATTCTTGAAGAGTATGTAGATCGGTAATTTAATGTGTTTTCTATAAAATTCATATTGCTAGAGGAAATCGACAACGAACTATCATCTGCAAAGAGGCGGGTTATGCTTAATAGATTATCCGCAATATCATTAACGTAGATTAGAAATAGCAACGGACCCAGGACTGATCCCTGGGGAACGCCCGCAGTAGTTATTTTCTCACTTGAGAAAGTTGAATTTACAAAAACTTTTTTGGTGCCGATTTAAAAGATAGTTGCTCAACCAATTTAATATATCGCCATCATACCGTATTGCCGCAATTTAAAATATAAGCCCTTTGTGCCATACCCTATCGAATGCTTTCGAAATGTTCACAAAATATCATACATGTAGATTGTTTTTTGTCAAAGGCTTGAGTAATTTGATGATAAATATCAATAAGTTGAAAAACGGTGGAATGACCCGGTAAAAAACCCAGACTGTTGGTGATATATAAGATTATTAACATGTAAATGATTATAAATGTGCTTAAAAACAATTCGCTCAAATACTTTACCCTACACAACTTATTAGAGAAATGGGTCTATAAATTCATAGGCATGTTTTTACTGCCCTTTTTATATATTGGCATTACAACTGCTGATTTCATGAATTAGGGTAAATATTTTCGACTAGAGATCTGTTAAATAAAATACCTAGTGGAGCACAGACAGAATATCTTGGTTTCTTTTAGCATTTTATGACTAATTTCATCTGGTCCACTTGCTTTATTTGTAATTAATGTTATTAAAGATATCACTTATTTCCTGATCGCTTATTTGTAAACTAGAAAATTTGACATTACTTTTAGAAACAAAATCTGGTAGGGACGAATGGGTGTCGTCTACAGTTGAGACTGAAACAAAATAATCGTTAAGACAATTTGCTTTTTCTAGATCGGTGAAGAAGTAAGTTTTGCCAGGCGAATTTTCTATGTAAAGTGGGGGAATACTCTCACAACCTTTGTTTTCTTTAATTAACATTTTTACGGTTTTCCAATATTGCCTGGGATTATTACAATTAAGATCAGATATAGAAAGTTCTAAGTTTTATAAACTTCTCCTTTGCATGTTTAATCATATTGCTCACTTTATTTCTATACCGTTTGTATATTAACCAGTCAGATTCTTTATTTGATCTAATTGCTTTACATTTCTGTCTATCCCGTTTACGACTCATATTTCTTATTTACTGAATCATACCATGGTTTATCCTTAGGCCTTATTGTGATGATATTTGTAGGTATACATTGTTGAGCTAAATTATGGAACCTTTTTGTAAAACAAGTCACAGGCTTCGTCAATAGTATTTAAATTTAGAAAAGACCAATCAGTTTGTTTAATTTTAATTCATTAAACTTTTACAAAATCCGCTCGTTTTTAGTTCCATATACGTCTCTTATAAGGTATAGAGGGTTTAAATGGAAGATTTAATAAATACATACGTTCCAAAATGGTCACTTATTTTCTTTTGGGAGTGCAATGAATTCCTGACCGTTAAAACAGTTAAATTATTTGAAATTACTATTGGATCTAATAGGGGTTGAATGTTCGAGCAGTAACACGTGTTGGATCAGTAATAATATTACGCATACCATTTAATAATAAGATATTTTCGAAGATTATAATTACTCGAATTTAGTTGGTCTTCGTTTATATCACCAAGAATTGTTTTGTTTTGGGGCAAAGTTTCAAAAGCCTTTTCTATACACAAGTTCATTTTATCCCAATAATCATTAGTAAAATTTTGAGGTCGATATGTAGTGCATATCAGAATTCTTGCCTGTTATTTTTTATTCAACCCAAACAGACTCTTCAAAAAAAGTTTGAAGATCATGATTAATTTATCAGATACATATACTAGCATTCCGCCAGAATATGAATTACCGTCTTTTCTATACAAATTACTATATCCGTCAAGAGAATTGAAGAGTCAATGACATTATTACTTAAGTGAGTTTCTGTGAAGCATAAAAATATCGTAGTCTAGCCAAATTTATCAGAAATGAAATTCATTTTGTTGCGAATGCTTCGTATATTTTGGTGAAATATGGAAATACAGGTTTGAATTTGTATCACACTATCAGGGCCAGGATTTATTTCTACATCTCCGCATAACATTATCTTTAAAAACATAAAATTTGAACTGAAATTGGTTTCGCATAACGAACTATTTGTGTCGCGGATGGTCTTTTAAGTAGGCTCTTTTAACTGTTATTTAAATGATAAAATTTCTTATAAAAGAATGAGCAGACCAGAATTAGCCATATTTGTAACGAGCGAAATATCAACCTAAATAATTTTTTCACAAAAATGAAACAGTACGAATTTCTCACGATAAGAAACAGAGTTACGTTCTGAACTTATTGCCACACAATTAAAATAATCCGATTGCCGCCCGATATGAATTTAGGCAATACCCATTTGGATATTTAAGCAGGTAACAATAATGTGAAAATGACAGCAATACAGACATTAACTGAGTATACAGTCTTAATAACCCTAACAAACTGAACTCTATAGGATAGAAAAAGAGATAAACGGAAAAATGACAAATGTCAGAAATAAAAGTATTGTAGAAAACATAATGCTTCTTGTTGTTCTACTGATTGTAAGAAGAGGAAAATATTAGGGAGAGAAAAAGTTGATTACTTAACATTTTTAGTATAGAAAAATATGGAAAAATTTTAATTCTTCAATTGAACAGTTTCTTTGTTTCATAAAAATATAGATAATAAAATAATCACCAGCTTATTCAAAGGAAAATTTCATAACAAAAAAATTTACTGCTGGAATATTCTAATCAGAATAATTAATGACAATAATAAACAGGTAGAAAGGAGAAAGAAAAGTAGAACATGAAAATTTAGCTAATATCTATCAATGTAACAATATAAGAATTTTTCACACATACATACATACACACACGCACGCACGCACGTACGCACATACGCACTTATATACATAGCAGGGACTTTGACTTTATACTCAAACTACTGGTATAGGCCACCTAAGTATTAGTTATATTGAAAAAAATCTGCTATATGCATCCCACCTTCACCCCGAAACATTGAACATTCAAGTTGATTGAACATCAGGGCTTTAAGCATTTTAGTACTGATTATAACGAAATGTAGTTATCATTCATTTTTTTTATCTGAGAGTGAGTAGTATTTGCTAGAAATAAGGAACTGGATCATACATTGTTGGTAAAGGTTCACATACATCCGAGTCCTCTCTTAGTCTATCATAGCCTTCTTCACAATATGGAGCACATGTATAATCTAAAATAAAATATAGACATTTAAAACTTACTGTATAGGTGGTTAAATTTGTTATGTGGAAATGTTTGTGATTTTTGCGAATTGAAATTATTTGTAAATATTTGATCGCGCAAAAATTATTTCTTTTTAGACAAACTTTCTTCTTTTATTTAAAAACACGTTTTCATAAAACATCCTACATGAGTAACTTTAATTGTTCAGGTACTGAGATTGATTTTACTCATTGCTTGTTTGTTTAAATTTGGTCTAAGTCTTAATTAATCATAAATGTTTGAATGAAACAATATATGTGTTCGTTTGTTTGTTTGTTTCATTTTATGCCTTTCCCCAACAGTGTTTCAGTCATATAGGCGGGTAGTTTCCTAACCATCGTTCGTAACACAATAGGTTATTCATATAACAAAAGAATGTTTCAAAATATGACAAAGATTTTTTTTACTAAACACAGAAGTAGAGTCTGTCAATGAGAATCAGACCATTCATTTTTGTTTCGTATTTTTGTTTTGTAAATATACTGGAATTTATGAAAAAAATTGTACAAAGCTGTACATTTTACCCTGGTCAAGCTTGCCCTCTTTATCTGTCTCATGATATAAGAAAGTTAACAGGTTGACTCTTTTATTTTGGATAAAAAATTAAGGTCTTGTTAAAGTCAAGAGGGTGTTGCCTCTTCCTTGATCACATCTTTCAACTCATTATTTAACTTGACGGTCAAGGTCAAATTAATGAAATTCTGTTGTTTTTCTTTCTGTAGCTGGCTATAACTTTGTTTATCATTAATGGATTTTATAAGATACAAACTCTTTTTGGACAGGACTTAACTTTTTGTTGATCATTTGTGAACTAAAAATACTTTTTGGCAGTTGTAAATAACCTAAACTTTTTTATTAAGACAGTACATGTGACGTCAAGATGTGGCTAAAATTAGTGTTGTCGCGATTGTCTCTGAAAAACAATAACTAATCGGACCACCCCAAAATCGGTGACAATCGATAGTCCTTTTTAACAAGAACTGTCGGAGGACTGTATTGGCTCGACTATTCGAAAAATTGGTCACAAGGGTGTTTTATTGAGTATAAAAATGCTTATTACCTATGAATATATAAAATTGACTGAAAAGGTACAAAGGCTTGTTATTAAGATGGTTTTTATTTCAAGTAAATCACTGCTTTATTATTATGAATGCATAAAATTGTCCCAAAAAAGGCACAAACCCTTCAGTAGTTATGGAGACAATAGCTTACAAGCAAACATTTACCATGAATTTCTAAGTTGAAAAAGGGGAGAAAAATCAGCCTAAATGCAAGATAGAATTATTGATCTTAGTCAGTGACCTTCAATTATGACCCTAAATGGATATGTGAAGTTTTAAATAAATATCTTTAATAGTTATTGAGATATGTAACACTTGCATGTAAACATTTACCAAGAGACTAAGTAGAAAAGGGGAGATAAATCAGCCTAAATGCAAGATAGATATATGGAACTTGGTCAGTGACATACAATTATGACCCTCCATGTATATGTGAAGTTTGAAATCAAAATCTCTGATAGTTATTGAGATATGTAAAACTTACATGTAAACTTTAACCAAGAGACTAAGTAAAAAAGGGGGAGATAAATCAGCCTAAATACATGACACAGATATGAGTGTTGTTCAGTGATCACTATTTATGACCACAAATATACATTATGAAGTTTCAAGTTTGTATCTTTAATAGTTTCAGAGATATGCAAAACTTGCATGTAAAACTTTTCCAAGAAAAGGAGATTTTTTTGTACAAAAGGGAGCATAATTCAGTCAAAATACATGGCAGAGTAATGAATCTTGAGATGTGACCTTCCATTATGATCCTAAGTACATGTGTAAAGTTTCGAGTAAATATAGTTGAAGACCTTTAACCTTTAATCAAAATTTCTAAGTTTCAAAGGGGCAAATTATTCTGCAAATATTGCAGGCAGATTAATGCAATTTTGCAAACTGATGTACATTGTAACTATAAAAATAGTATTGTAAATTTCAATTGAATATCTCAAGCAATAATTGAGATATTTGACTTTACAAAAAACTTTAACCAAAATTTCTAAGTTAAAAAGGGGCATAATTCTGTAAATATTGTAGGCAGAGTTATCCAACTTGTCAATCTGGTGTACATTGTTACTATAAATAAGTATTGTAAGTTTCAATTGAATATCTCAAGGAATAATTGAGATAATATGTATTTGACTTTACAAAAAACTTTAACCAAAATTTCTAAGTAAAAAAGGGGCATATTTCTGTCAATATTGTAGGCAGAGTTATCCAACTTGTCAATCTGATGTACATTGTTACTATAAATAAGTTTTGTAAGTTTCAATTAAATATCTCAAGCAATAATTGAGATATTTGACTTTAAAAAAAACTTTTACCAACGCAGACGCCGACGCGGACGCCGACGCCGTGGCGACTACAATAGCTCTCATATTCTTCGAATAGTTGAGCAAAAATCGATTATTTTAATGTTCTACCACTGCTGATTTGCCTAGGGGGTAACTTTTTTACACGCGGTTAAATAGAAATTTCCCAACTCCAGACAATACTAAAGTCTTTTTTGTTTGCCTTGTAAAAAAAGAAGTACAGAAAAAACATGGCTAGTGAATAAGTGGACAATTTGACAACTTTGTTGTCTGAACATCAAAGCGCATTCATCTTGGCCGTGCTTTTTTACCAACAGCATGTATAAATCTTAACTTTGCACATAAATTTAATCCTCGCCTTCGGGCTTTTTTTTGTTAACCATTGAATTTAATGCAGAAAATTAACTGCAATTAACACATTTATGTGACATGATATGCAGTCGCCGATGTACATCTACGGCATCGTAATTAACTGAGCAAAATTTATACGACGCCTTCCACTTTTTAATTAGCGAGTTTGATAGTTAACACCATGAATCGATAGTTAACACCCTGAATCGGTTTTTACCATATTTGACAGTAACTACTCGACCACATAAATTTACTTGCATATAAATGAATACACAACATGAGCACGATTAAATGATAAAGACAAACCAGTATAAAAGTATGTGCACATTTACAAATGTAAATAATAAAATTCATCTAATTTTCAAAACCTATTTAACATGGTTAATACTACTTAAGAAAATTATAGTGTGTAATAACATAATATTATAAACTTACATATCTACTGTAGTTAAATTAGTGATCTACATTCTACAATATTTTGACCTGTTGACTAGACTAGTACTAATATTGACTGCCATAAAATTGTATTAAACAAAAATTGCCTGTCACAAAGTTGCATTAGGTATTTGTGTTGTTTGTTTTGATTTCAAAGAGTCAATCTTGGAGACAAGAGTTTATTAGTCCCCTACCGGTTTACCGGAGGGGACTTTAGGTTTACCCTCCGTCCGTCTGTCCGTCCGTCCGTCTGTCTGTCAGTCCGTCAGTCCGTCCGTCCACAAAACTGGATCCCGCGATAACTTGAAAAGTACTGAAAATATTTTTATGAAACTTGATATATGGATAGATGGCAGTATGGAGATTATGCACGTCTTTTTCTTTTTTTCCTATGTTGAAAATTCTGGTTGCTATGGCAACAAATAGGCTGAAAATATGGCAAATTTTACACATAAACTGGATCCAGTGATAACGCAAAAAGTACTGGAAATATTTTTATGAAACTTGATATATGGATAGATGGCAGTATGGAGATTATGCACGTCTTTTTCTTTTCTTCCTATGTTGAAAATTCATTCTGGTTGCTATGGCAACAAATAGACTGAAAATATGGCAAATTTTACACATAAACTGGATCCAGTGTTAACGCAAAAAGTAATAGAAATATTTTTATGAAACTTGTAATATGTGTAGATGGCAGTATGGAGATTATACACGTCTTTTTCTTTTCTTCCTATGTTGAAAATTCTGGTTGCTATGGCAACACATAAACTGAAAATATGGCAAATTTTACACATAAACTGAATCCAGTGATAACTCAAAAAGTACTGGAAATATTTTTATGAAACTTGACATATGGGTAGATGGCAGTCTTGAGATTATGCATGTCTTATCTGTTCTTCCTATTTTGAAAAAATATTGGTTGCCTTGGCAACAAATAGGCTTAAAACATGGCAAATATAACAATATTTGTGATTAGTCAAAAAGAGCTGAAACTTTTTATGAAATTGCATCTTTAATTCCAGAGTTATCTCCTCATTAAGAATTTTGCTTTTTAAAATGTTATATTTTGGTAACATGGATGTTTCAAATATTAACTTTAGAGTGTCCTTCAGTCTGTCTGTCTGTCTGTTCATAAAAACTTTTTCCTGTAATCACTTTTAAAGAACATTTCCAACAAATTTACTTAAAACAGACAAAAATTTACACATTAGTGAATGGCCAATGGCCCTTCAGAATGTTGATGGGGTTCTATCCGGTAGGGGACTTATGGATTGCTTGCAATACTATGATAATTGCTTGTTTATTCTCAAAATGTGGTCACTACTGTATAAAAAATACATACAAGGATTGGTACCTTAAAGAAAAAAGGGCCATAAACAATGCGAAACTCGATTATAATATCGGCAGACAATCGATTGTGGTGGCCGATATTCGAAAGTGATTTTTGAGTCGGATACCCAAACTAGCTAAAATATTTACGAATCAGACTGTGATGACTTTTTGAAAGCAGACAGGCAATTGAGACCAGTTTAGACAGTTCCTAACAATTGAGAGATGGCAACGACCATTAATCGATATGCATATTATGACGAGTTTACTTTGCTTGCATGTACCCCCTGCATACAATTTTTATGCATGCATGTATAATTTTGTGCGTGAATTACGCACTGTTGTGCGTAAATGGGCATGCTGTAATATTCTTTTTAAGATTTGTTTAACCCAATAATGCATGAGAATTTTGTGAAAAATGACTGTTTTCATTGAAAAGCCTCCTGGTACAAGTTCAAATTGCTATGAAACTATAAACAAAAGGACCATGACGGCCCTGAAATCGCTCACCTGTATATATGTACTGGAGCGGGCCAATTTTAACCCAAAGGCTTTTATTTGAACAAACTTGGTAGACACCCATTAGAAGATGTTTCATGAAAAATATCTAAACTCTAGCTGTTTGAGGTTATTAAAAGAAGATTTTTAAGATATTACTATACACATATAGGGAAAAACAATAACCCCGGGACAGGGCCATTTTTAACCCAAGAGCCCTTATTTAAAGAAACTGGTAGACACCTATTAGAAGATGTTTCATGCTTAATATCTTAGCTCTAGCTCTATGAGTTTTTTAAAAAGAAGACTTTTTAAATTTTTACTATATACATAAAGGGAAAAAATGAACCCCTGGGGCAGGGCCAATTTAGACCCCAGGGCGAATATCTTAACAAACCTGGTAGACACCCACTAGAAGATATTTCATGCTTAATACCTAAGTTCTATCTATTTGGGTTTTTTAAAAGAAGATCTTTTAAGGTTTTACTATATACAAATTAGGAAAATCAATGACCCCCTAGGGCGGGGCCATTTTTTACCCCAGGGCTTTTATTTGAACAAACTTGGTAGACACTGACTAGACGATGTTTCATGTCAAATATTTAAGCTCTAGCTCTTTCGGTTTTATAAAAGAAGATTTTCTAAGTTTTTTTCTTTCGGTCGCATGATGGTAACCAGAAATCTGCATGGAATTAAATTCTTTGAACAATTTTTAAAGTTTTAAGACATGTTGTTCTTAATTCCTTCCTTGATTACTTCATTTTTAAAGTTGAATATCAAAAGAACATTCCTGTAAAGTTAAGATGAAATTGGCTAAGTGGTTTATGAGGAGAGGCCATTTTTAGCCTCTTACAAGTCCAAAATTTTCTTGGAGATGAGGGAGTCTGCTGACCTTCAAACCCCCAAGCAGAAGGGGGCACAACCCCCATCTGGCACCTCCTTTATCTGTATCTATTTAATAGGGGATGGCACCGAAAAGTTATCACTTTTTAATTCAATATGTCAATTGAAAAACAGTGTTTGGGGCTAAATAGGTCATTTTTTCACTATTTGAGGCCTAGAAAGGGGGCCTTAAAAGCCTTCAAGTCTATCTGAATTAATGAGTTAAATCTTTTGTTTGCTTTTAGAAAAAGTATAAAATGTTGAATGTTGCCCCTGCCTGGTGGTGGCTCTTGTCTAATTTATTAAGGTACATGTGGCGGCAATTCATAAAGGTTTTTTTTACATGTTTTCATACATAATCAAGTCGAAATACATAAAAGTAAATTTTTAACAGAGATGAATATTAAAGGAAATATCTCGGTATGGGGGTTCTGCACAGTGGTACGTATTCCCCAATGCTGCATCCCAATACACCATTTTATCGTCATATTGTTGAACCTTTACCACCATCCATACCCAAACTGGCACACGGTGTGGTTGGAAAGAAAGCTATATTTAAGGCTGCCAAAAAAGAAACATATTAAAACTATTTAAATTTTAAGAGAATATAAAACTTGATTAGAAAGTTTACCAATATGATAATAATAAAATATGTAAAATAAATGTAATTATTTAAACTTACTTAATAGCCTTTGTTGTGGTTTTCCACTTGGCAATTTTGGACACTCTTTTTTTTTACATTTATAGTCAATGATACTACACATTTCAAAACTTTGAACATTGATAGGGACATAACCTTTCCTTGCATCACATCGACAAAAACGTTCATTTTTTGAATCGTCTGGTTTGCATAAGATCTTATGAGTTCCTTCAGAACAATCATTCCATTTTTTATCTGGACATTCAGAGTATGTTGAAGAAGATTTGTTCACACTGTTGTAGAAGTTATTATCAAAACAGGTCACACTATACACATCTGGATCATCTATTTCTTGACCATTTCTTTTAAAGCTCAAATGTGGCTCTTCTCCTAAAATATAAATTTTAGTACCTTGAATAAGTTTTCAAGTTACACTCTGTTCAAGAAAATTATCTCTAGCCCCAATCACATAGTCCGAACTACAAGATGTCGCCTTTATATATATTTCATATCCTCTCAAAACTCTTTTAAACTATTTGCATTTATGAAGGCAAATTCCTTTCAATAACAAAATCTAATGTAAATATTTGTTTACATCAAGCTTTTAGAGATAACAATTTACCTGCTAAACAATTTTTTTCAATAGCACATCCTTCCTTGAAGATCTCAGGATTATCATAATCTCGAGCACAGTGGTAGATTCTGTCCGATGAACTGTCCAAACAGCGCAGGCAGTAGCTTGCATGGTGTTTCCACCAAAAAGAATCGTGCGAATGGCAAAAATCGAAACTACAATTCAATCGGTCAGAAGAATCCAAGTGTATCGGTAGAAGGCAGCATGTCACCTGGAAACAATCACTCTATATTACTACATTTAGTATCACATTCAACATATACAAGATTTTCACTTTTAGCAATTTATGAAATATATTTCTCAAGAAACAAACTAGGTTTTAATAACATACTAGTATGTGCCTAAATTTCCTAATATTCAGAAGTTCTTTCAAAAATTTTATCACCTATTTAATATATTTATAATTAAAATACAAATAGGTACCATAGTAACTAACATAAGGGTAACAATCGTAACTTAATCTATTACTTGTTGAATTTTGCTATGCAGAATTAAAATACAACTTAACAATTTTCACTCAAGATAGACTTTTTCTTTCTTTAAATTTATATTATTTAATTATGAAACAGTAATATGTAGTTATCAATATGTAGTTATCAATCTAGCTATCAACTACATATTAAATATATATATATAATATGCTAGTTGATATCACAGATTCACAAATATAGAATTGAATCATTTAGAAAGAATAAAGTCCTAAATTACAAATCATTCCTTTTGAATGGCTTTTCCATGTTGTAGATCATTGTACATATATATCTTTTTATTTTTTACTGGGTTATATACAGTAAAGGTCATACGGTGACTTTCCAGCTTTAATTGTGGAGTAAGACCTCAGGTGCCCTTCCAAGCATTATTTCAGACGGGAGCGGCATCCGAGTACAATGTACATGTAGTATAGTGTAATATTCTACAATTATTGACTAGTATGCCATTGAATATGATGTGATATTCACCGGGTGATGACATGCCGAGGTCAATATGGCTTTCTGCCGATGAACATCACATTATATTCATTGGCACGTCATAAGTCATAATAATTGTTTAATAATATAAATACGCTATAAGATTTTTTTTTAAATCACTTAAAGTACAACATTATACATGTACATGTCTGTTTCGTTGAAGCGCGGGAAAAAAAAGACGCATAACAACTAAGCGAACGCTGCGCATACAAAAATATTCCAAGTTTATAATTATCATTGCGGTGTAACGTTTAACTATAATAGTAATGTAATGATATTTAATCAAGAAATATACCAAAAAGAACAAAACGCAACAATTATTTTAATAAGCACGCGTAAAAAACAGTCTACGACGTGAATATGATACTACACCCAGTGAATATGATTTTATAAAGATTTCTGTTGACTACTGTTTTGACCAATGACATTGCAGCTATATTTATATCATATAATGTATGTTATCAGTAGGGTGTTTTGTATTGTTTTGGTGCTACATATTAATTCCATTGCTAAATCAGTAAATTTAATATTTATTGTTACAAATTCAATCATTCTTAGATAGTCAACCATCTTTGAAGAAAATTATTAGCTACAAATAACAATATGATATGATTATTACTATTTATTAGTATTAGATATTAGTACTTAAAATAAGCTTTTATTCTTGAAATTTAACAAATAATTACTCTAAGAATTTTTTTTCAAAAGTTTGCGAATCTGGTGATACAATGGCAGGAGGATATCTGTATCTGATTTTCATTAGGCGATAGAGAACGCGCAAGAGTTTGGCATTTCATTAACAGTCATAACTATGGGCACTGAATCACTCCAGTGAGAAATCCTGAGCTAGAATATCACAGTGTTTATTATCATAAATGAAAGATATAATCTTGTTTGTGTCTTATTTCCTTCTTAAGCTCATTCAGTAATCTTCTACAGTGGACCAAAACATGTGTTTGTTTTTATATATATTTCCAACCCTTTCAATGATTTAAACCTTACAGACGGAATAGTAACAACTTTGACAAAATATCTTTCTGTTTTAAAACAGCACAAATGTTTCATTCTAAAAAGATTGGTCTCTTTCACTTTAATCATCAATGAGTATTAGTTCTCTTCCACTTTCTCAAACTGTGCAGTTTACACCCGTGGGAAAAATACAACAAACATTATCAAAAAACCATAGTAATATTATATAGTCAACATACTCAACAATTTTCACAAAAAAAAACTACAGCAGATTAGCAAAAGAGCATGCTTTATCAGTTACTGGTACTTTTTACAGTTGGATATAACAACTTTAGAATGAAATTCATATCACATACAACATCAAGTTTGTGTAATGGTCAAAACCTGCTTTAAATCTTGAACAGTTTCAGTAGTGTTTTCATTACTACTCAGTGTCCAAATTAGTATGAATGTAAATGAAAATTATCAATATGATTAATCATCAACTTATAAATACAACATGTATTGTTAGTTTTCATCAGTCCTAAATCATAGCTATCAAATAATTGTTTTATTGATAAACACCAGGAATAAAGAATGTTTATTATGTATGACTTCATAATGACTGATAATAAATTTATCTTCAACATTTAATCATGATACAATTATAGCATAACGTCATGAATTAACCTTATTCTTATTCTATATCACATGTATATCCTTGTGTTAAAGGTTTGCTGGTGTGTAAGAGATACATATGATATTAAATATCAATATCTAATATACAATTAATAGCAATTATTTCAAACTGTCTTATAATAAATTAAAGTGACATTAAAATTATACCCTAGGGGCGTCCGTGACCGAGTGGTTAAGGTCGTTGACTTCAAACCACTTGCCCCTCACCTCTGTGGGTTCGAATCCCGACAGGGACTTTGGATTCTTTCATGTGAGGAAGCTATCCAGCTAGCTTACGGAACGTCGGTGGTTCTACTCAGGTTCCCGTTTGTGCCTGAAATAATGCAGGGAAGGGCACTTGAGGTCTTCCTCCACAAGTAAAGCTGGAAAGTTTCGATATGACCTATACTGTGTCGATGTGACGTAAAACCCAAAACAAAATTATACCCATTTTCCATTGTTAATTAAGTAGAGCTGAATTTAAATATTTAAAGTTTTATCTTTAAAAAAATTATTATAATGGTTTTATATTTCTCCAGTATAAACAATGGTGGTGCATTATACATTATATGTCTAATATTTTGGTATATTTACGAACACTTGGAGTGACTTGACCTGAGAATAATCCACAAAATAACCAAAAGTAATTACACCCTCAAAATGTGTCGACCACCAGGGCATTTTCACCCTATCACAAGTGGTTGGCATATTAACCCATTTCCAATCCATAATAGCCTATTTTTCCCCAATTAAAAAAGTATTCCCAAAAGCAGTCAAAAAAACAAACTGATTCAACGTCTGAGAAATATCAGACTGTTTTCACTTGGCCCATTATGTCTCAAAAATGCTTTTGTTTATTATTTCTCAAAAGCACTTTAATTAGTAACCTTATAGTATTAAACTAGAACTGCCACTGTCATGGCGTGAATACCCCCGCATACCACTTTGTCAGAATCAAAAGTGACCATTTACAGCTCAAGGACAACCTCCCTGCCAAATCTGAGGTTACTAAGCCAGTCCATGCTTCAAATGTGAAAATGTCAAAATCAGTACACTGTGGATAGGCATTCTTAAGCATCTGAGCAGACAAGCTTATTATAGTTAAAATCCCTGTCACATTGACCTTTGACACAGTCACCTTAAAATCAATAGGGATCATCTCCTAGTCATAAACAACCTAAGTACCAAACATGAAGACTGTTGACCAAATCATTCTTAAGCAATTGAGCGGACAAGCATTTTTAATCAAGGCCCCTGTGACCTGTACCTTTACCCAGTGACCTCAAAATCAATAGGGACCATCTACTAATCATGACCAATCTAAATACCAAATTTGAGGAGTGTGGGTCAAAGGAATCTTAAGTTATTTGGCGGACAAGCTTTTTTTAATCAAGGCCCCTGTAACCTTTGACCCGGTAACCTCAAAATCAATAGGGATCATCTACTAATCATGACCAATCAAAATGCCAAATATGAAGACTGTGGGTCAAAGGAATCTTAAGTTATTGGGCAGACAAGCTTTTTTTACCCAAGGTCCCTGTGACCTTGACCTTTGACCCTGTGACATCAAAATCAATAGGGATCATCTACTAATCATGACTAATCTAAATGCTAAATATGAAGACTGTTGGTCAAAGGAATCTTAAGTTATTGTGCGGTCAAGCTTTTTTCTCAAGGCCCCTGTGACCTTGACCCAGTAACCTCAAAATCAATAGGAATCATCTACTAATCATGACCAATCTAAATACCAAATATGAGGACTGTGGGTCAAAGGAATCTTAAGTTATTGGGCAGACAAGTTTTTTTTACTCAAGGTCCCTGTGACTTTTACCTTTGACCCTGTGACCTCAAAATCAATAGGGATCATTTACTAATCATGATCAATCTAAATACCAAATATGAAGACTGTGTGTTAAAGGAATCTTAAGTTATTGGGCGGACAAGGAAAAACCGACGGATGGCCGGACGGACGGCCGGACGGACAAGCTGATTCCAGTATACCCCCCTTACAATTCGTTGTGCGGGGGTTTAATAAGTTACTCAATGGCCAATTACCAGAACCATGTTTTTATCTGCTGGTTTTTGGCAATAAATACAGTTATAGTGAATTATTAGTCAAAATACTACTATGTTCACACATTGCTACTTTTCAGTCCAACTTATTATACTACGCAATGACATATTGTGCTATTTTGTGTATGGACAATACTGACCCAGAACAAACATATCTTAGAATCTAGCTTTGCGCTTGTTCTCAATAAAACACAGCATTTGATGTTCCACTGGGTAGCTCTTATATTAAGGTTTGTCTTGAGATAAAAATGTCGTTAGAAAGGTGGCTGCCACTTTGTCTAATAAGGACTTTTTTATCTGGTATTTTTCCTTTACAAGTACCATTAATGCCCTAAAATGTAACATACGTTACTGTCGCCACCTAGAATTTTCAACTTTGAAATTGTGTTTCAAAAAATAAGTTCCAGAATAAACGAAACATTTGCAATTAGTCATTGCTGCCTGTATATGCACTTTGATTATTAGCAAAAATTTTATTTGACTTTTAAAACCTCATTGATAAAGTGGATGATCAATGGATTGTCGCCAAATGCATATAAATAAA